AGGTAGGGTCCCCAGTCCTCCAAGGGGGCTGGCACCAATCACCCCCCCCCATCCAACCTACATTACCAACATAGAGTCCCCACTGGACAAAGAGGGTCATTTGAAGTCTCAGGTGGGCTTCTGAAAAGGTAATTAGGAGGGCAGCATGCATGAGTGTTTTGCACATTATTTTACGGTCAACTTATTGGCCTTCTCTAGTACAGTTTCTAAGTGTTCTACCTTACCATCCAACGTTCCATCTAAAGTATCATTAAACACATCTGGAATAAACACTTGTTTCTCTGTTAAAAGAGAGGGAGCAATTTGAGTTTCTTTGTAGGCAGATTATGTAGGTTGAGTTTGCATTTTAAGCAAAAAATATGAGAACGTCAATAAGTTCTTGTGTTTACATGATCTGTGGAATTAAGGCAGATTTTACTTTTATGTGGCATGGGGGTTTCCCGCATATCAACAGCAGATATTCATATTTCCTAGTAGTAACCCAGTGGTGACTGGTATCAGTAGGTTCACCCATATTTCTTTAGCCTGGTTCTTGGCTTGGCTGCTTTTAAAATTCAGCATGCTGTATGGAATCCTTCCTTCCATGTGGTTATTTTCTGTAAGTGACGTCATGTTTATGTTTTGATGCGTTTTGAATTTTATTATAAATATTCCTTATAAGTTGCATTTTGCTTTCTGCTTCCAAATTACTTCCATTTATGTTATCTCTTGCTGCTAAGTTCAGGTAAAGCAGCCTGCAATTTTACCTTCATTTCTGCTGAAGTTGAGTTTGCGGTTGAGCCTGTATTGGAAATACTGGGGAACTGTCTGCACTCTCAGTTCTCCTCTGTTGCCCAAGGCTCCTCTGATGTTGGTTGACCTAGACTGCCAGTATAATCAAAGTTGCTCAATAGTCAGAGAAGACAAGGTTCTGGAAATACATATCCAATGGTTCAGCTCATGGTTTCTGTGCCCAATATAAATGCACACCAACATTGTCTTTTTGGAAAATATATAATACCATATGCCAAACATTGTGCCTTACACTTTATGCATAATATCTCATTGATTTCTCACATCAACCTTGGGAATACTCTTCATCTTACAGATGAAGAAAGTTATGTATCAGAGATGCTTAGAAATTGCCCAAGATCACACAGCTAGTAAATCATGGGGGAAAAATGTCTCCAAACCCAGCTTCCTTTCTACTGTCTTCCACCATTCCTTGAGAGAGTTTTCATCTTTGGGTAAAAGATGTTCACATTAACTTGATAGGAAAAAACAGGAAGCTAACTTGGCTTCCTATTTTTATGGACTATCTCCAGAGACCCAAGGACCTGGACTGGTTGCTGTCCCAGCTATTAACAATTCAAAGAAGAGGAGAGACTTTTCCCAATGCTTTCTGATGCTCTGCAGTGTGTTGTTTTCACAGAGTGACCTAAAAAACTTTTCCTGCTGCACACTGGCATTGATGACTTTGGCTGCCTTCCATACCTACCGGAGAATTTTGAAAATACTTATTCAGCAAATAATTAGTTTGCACCTGTATATGGAAGACATGGTGGAAAAACTGGCGGACAACATAGAGATGAGTGAGAGGTGATTCTGGCCCTCGAGTGGGGAGAGTCAGATACTTCTCTCATAACCACGTATAAAAGGCAAGCCATAGCACAAGCAGTGTACCAATAAAGTGTGCGAAGGGCGACTAGGTTAGTCCAAGGGACAGGAGTAGTAAGACTCCAGGTTTCAGAAAAATGAAAACTGACAGCCAGTAAATGGCGATCCCTGGAGCTGTGCAGTGCACAGCTTGTGTGGCTGCCATTGGTGGGGGCGGGGGGGATCTGCTAAAATTACGGGGTTAGTCATTTCAGGGGCAGCTGATGAACATTTTTATGGGGTGAACCATTTCCAAGTTCACTCTCAGCTGAGAAATTTGCCGAACTATGCAGCATGCTAAGGAACACGTGGGCCACCTCTAGACACACTGCTGTCAGCAAATCCCTGTGCCATCTGCTGAACATTCCATCATTTACTTTTGCCATTTCAAGGGCCTCCCTTGCCAGCAGGGCCCAGCCTGTCATGTGAGGGTTTATTGGTGTATGGGACAGAGGGAAGGGTTAGAATTGGGTCCAAAGGAATCACTTTTCTGGCTCCCCTCCCTTGACAGAGTGCGGAGAACTTTCGCTGCAAGTACCCAGACTTAACTGGGAAGTGTGCAGAGCTCAAGTTTTCCAAATCCTTTGCAGGATGAGAGTGGGTCTGATATGGTTGCTACATTCTCAGGTTCCATATTGGTCCCCAGGCAGCCAGACAGTGCCATGGGGTGGAGGGTGGAGAGACAGAAACATGTGTGAGCCTCAACACAAGTAAGGAGTTGTCTTTGGCACCCCTTGTCTTTCCTGCCCCTCCTCACCCTGCCAGCCAGGGCTCAAGGCCTGTAGCGCCCAGGGCTGCCATGTCCCTCCCATCCCCTCATTTCCCTCCCTTCCTCCAGTGCATAAGCTCTGGCCCTTAAACTTCTGTCCTAGAGGGAGTGGTGGTGTCTCCTTGTTGGTTCCCCTGCCTGACACCTCGTCTGTCCATGGCTAGCTCAACTCAGTTGTACCCTCCTGAAGTTTCGCTCTGCTAGCATCAGCTTCTGTGCACAGACCTTCAAGAGCTGCCTCTCACCTCGTTCAGGCCTCCTGGGTTCTCAATGATATGACTATAGCTGTCTGTGTCCCTGGACTCTAGACAAACTGGACTACACTCTTGCCCCGTGTGGCCTGGGGTTTTGACTGTCTTGACTCATCCTGCTCCAGTGTCCTGGGACCTCCATCCCTGCCTCCCAAATGTTACCATCCTTTAGGGCTCTGCTCAAAGGGCAGCACCACCTCCCCTGTGGTCTGCCCCTTTTTCTTTGAGTGTGCTTTGGCTAATGTAAATGATTCCTTTGCCTGCATATGTTCTTATTTCACATGGATAGTACTGTGTCTCCTAACTCATGCTGTTTTGTTTTCTTTCGCTAAGCACTTAAATTCTTGAGATCCATCGATTTTTCCATGTGTACCTCCAATGCGTTGCTCCTAGCTGCTCTCCCAAACTCCCTGACATTTTTCCTATCTGCTACCCCAGTGAGGGACATGCAGCTTGCTTCCAGGTGCTCACCACAGGCCGCATTGCAATGAGCAATAGTAACCACACTCTAGCGTCTTCACCCCCTTCTTGAGTTCTTCCCATGTGCCAGGCACCATTCTTAGCCCTCAGTTCCCTTCAATAACCCATGAGGAACTATTATTACCTCCATTTTACAAATAAGGAAATCAAGGCATGCTAATAAAGCGTTAGTAGCCATGTACAAGTCCCCTTATGGACCTGTGTGAGATCAGTCTAGGGATGGCATTGTTGGGGGGCGGGGAGTTCACAGGGTATTTGTACCCTGAATTTAACTAAGTAGAGTGATTCAGATTAGTGCATGAGAGTTTCTGTATCCCACTCCCCAGTTCAGCACAAAAACAGACACACTGAACACAGTAGCTTTGGGAGAGTCAGGGAAATGGGAGTGGGTAAAGAAGTAAAAAGGGAGACGTGAATATACAAACCAAGAGGTGCCCTGAGTGAGGCCATGATCAGAAAGTGCCATGGACCAAGGACTGTGATGAACGCAGCTCCTACTTTCAGTTTCCCTGCGGAACGCTGAGCTGCCCCAACCTGAGGCCTTCTCTCTGCCACCTCTCCTGGCACAGGGTGTGCTCACTCCTACCCTCTTCCCCCGTGTCCCTTGCCAGCATTCTCACAGGACACTTATGCCCAGCCTGCCCCCTGCCACTGTGATGTGGGTGCTGGTCTTATCTTCTGCCTTCTCCCAGTAGCTCCCCAGGGGCAGGGACTATCTTAGCATGGAATCCTCAGAGATCAAGACCAAGACTCTGCACAGTAGGTGCTCCAAAGGACCCGGGCTGGCTAAATGGAAAATGAGTGAATGGGTGACTTCAGATGTAGATTGTGTTTATTGACATGAAAACTATGTGGAACAGCCCCTTTCTCTCTCTCTCTCTCTCTCTCTCTCTCTCTCTCTCTCTCACACACACACACACACACACACACACACTCATACCTGTATAAACAGGAGAATTACTAGGGAGTAAAATGTGGTATTTTAGAAAGAGAAGGGGATTTTAGAATCAGACAGAAATAAAAATCCTGACTCTGGCATGTGTTAATTGTACAAACTTTTGAAATGCTTTTAACCCTGTTGTGGGCCATTTTTCCTCATCTATAAAATGGAGATCATGCTATTTCACAAGGTTTTGTGAAGAATAAAACACATAACCTGGTGAAGGCACCAACGAAGATGCCTGGGTACACAGTCCCCCATAAATATCACCTCTTCCCTTTCTTCAGGGTTTCCATTCCAGTCTCAGAGGAGGGTGGATGTGATTGGTGGTCTCTTTTTGTGTGTCTGTGGATACACAGATGGACATCACACACAGACACACGTGTACACGCCATTCTTGAAAAGCCCGCTAACACCTCCCTCTTCCATGATTTGTCCACAGACCGGCATATTTTTCAGCTGAGAGCTCACATGTACCAAGCCCGGGGCCTCATCGCGGCTGACAGCAGCGGACTTTCAGACCCTTTTGCCAAAGTCACGTTCCTTTCTCACTGCCAGACCACAAAGGTAACCAGGGTAACCAAGACATCCTGCTTTCTTCCTGCAGCCTGCAACTGACCCCCAGAAGAGCCCAGGAAAGAAAAACATGAGGGCATGTTGCAAATGCCTGCATCTTTGGGTGTGTAGATGTTTCAGACTGAAAAGTGAATATATGCCCAGAAGGACTGATGTGGAGAAGGTCTATTGTTTCACTGTTATTCATTGTCCTAGGGCAAAGGAAGCAAGTCCCTGAGGCAAGGGAAGGATAGGAGAAAAAGAGGAGTGGGGAGGAGAAGCAGAACCTGGAACCCCCAGGGTGCCTGCTGAAGTGCCAGGCGCAAGGCCACGTGCCGTGGGGAGGGCGCAAATGAGGAGACAGCAAAGACAGCCTGCATGAGGTTTATGATCCGGTCATTATGAAGGGGCCTCAGTGGGGAGAAACATTTTCCAGCTTTGTGGTCATGCTCTGGGCTTTGCACTCACCAGCTGGGGAGATTTGCATGCTTTTAACATCTCTATGCTTCACAGTCCCCCTCCTCTGGAAAATACTACTTCGTAATGGATGTTGTGGGTATTGAGGGAGATGGGTTGTCTTCATCTGTTTAGTGTTGCTTATAACAGAATACCTGAAACTGAGTAATTTATAAAGAAAAGGGGCTGGGCGCAGTGGCTCACGCCTGTAATCCTAGCACTTTGGGAGGCCAAGGTGGGCAGATCGTGAGATCAAGACATCGAGACCATCATGGCCAACATGGTGAAACTCGGCCTATACTAAAAATACAGAAATTAGCTGGGAGTGGTGGTGGGTGCCTATAGTCCCAGCCGCTCGGGAGGCTGAGGCCAGAGAATCACTTGAACCTGGGAGGCAGAAGTTGCAGTGAGCTGAGAGGGCGCCACTGCACTCCAGCCTGGTGACAGAGAGAGACTTTGTCTCAAAAAAAAAAAAAAAAAAAAAAAAAGGGATGTATTTTTTACAGTTATGGAGGCTGGAGGTCCAAGGTTGAGGAGCCGTATCTGTTGAGGGCCTTCTTGCTGGTGGGACCCTGCAGGTTCTGAGGCAGTGCAGGGCATCTCGTGGCATCGCGTGCCGAGGGGGCTGAGCATACTAACGCGCTCACTCAGGCCTCTCATCTTCTGAAGCCACCAGTTCCGCTCCCATGACAACCCATTAATCCATAGATGAATCCATTTGTGAGGGCAGATTCCTCATGACCCAAACACCTCTTAAAGGCCCCACCTCTCAATACTGTGACATTGGAAATTAAATTTCAACATGAGTTTTGGAAAAGACAAATATGCAAATCATAGTATGGATTCTGCCTGTTAGTCCTCTGTCTTTCTGCCTTTTCTCCACACTGAGTACTAAAACATGAAAAAGATTCCCAATCAGCAAAAATACAGTAGGATGCTTTTCTCATTAGATTATATTCTCTAAAAATTTACTCTGTCCTCAGATTTGCAGTTTGAAGAGAGAGAAGCTCAGTAAAGAACTGCCCATCTCAGGGAGTTAGGCACCATGGGTTAGGACGCAGTGTCCTAAGGTGACCTTCTAGCTCATCTCCTCTCTGACTGCATGTCTTTGGGCAACTAATACAACTCACTAAACCTCAGGTTTGTCATCTTAAAATGGGACTGTCATGAAGAGGCAAATAGTTTTTCAAATGATGGATAAATGCTGGCCATGACATTGGCTGATGTTGAGAGGGCTAACATTTTTCTCCAGGGCAAAGCCCGTGACCTGGATGATAGATGAGACTGCATTTTGATTTATGACTCACAGACTGACAGCATGTTGTGAACCAGCCTCACATCTCTTTAACCAGTGCCTGTCGGGTGCTGGCTTTTTGTCAGGCCACATGCTGGGCTCTGGAGGATGGGAGGAACCAGACTCTGCTCCAGGGTAATATGCGGTCCAGGCATGGATACCGGCTTCATGACAGATGAGGCACTACACTCTGATAAGCCAGGGTGCAGGGCTATACAGAGTCCTACAGGAGCCAAGCAGAGAAAAGGCTAGTTACCAGGGAGGGAAGTCAGGAGAAACCTCAGAAGGAAGGCGACGTCATCCTCATTCAGTGACTGAGCATAAAAATGGGAAGACAGCAGACTACTTTCTCTTTCCTATGTTTCGAGAGTTTGTATGCAGCGTGGTGATGATGAGTCTGGACTCTGGAGCTACACTGCCTGCCTCGAAATCCAGGATCTTCCATTTATCAGCTGTGTGACTTTAAACAAACCTCTCTTTGTGCCTCAACTTCTTTATCTGTGAAACAGGGATGATAACTTTGTACATTCCTTCCAGAGAATAAAATACCCAGGACAATAATCTTGCTTAAAACTAAGGCTACTACGCGACTGCTTATTGTTATTGCCATTGAGGCTTCCTTCCAACAGCAAGGGGGTTCTCACAGGATGGACCCCTCGAGCCTTCCGCCACCCGCCACAGCACTGTGGAATTCCAGGGCCCTGAGTGGAGCACAGGATTCGGATGAAATCCTTGTTCTGCTGTGTAATTATCCTTCTATTTTGCATCTCCATACAGCATCTTCATTTGACTTAGATCCGTATCTCAAAGGAACAGATGGCTTTTGTTTATCAAATTGTTTGAAAGGGAAAATAGGTTCTGTTGAGTTCTGGACTTTGTCTTCATAATTTCAAGCCAAGTACCTCATTTTTATTAATAATAATAGCTGCCATTGACTAAAAGCTCCCACGTGCTGGGCAGAATGCTCAGCATTTTATATGCGTTGTTTGCTGTATCTCACTGCAGCCCGAAGCTGGATGTTATTAGTGTCTTCATTCTACAGATGAAGAAGGTAATGTTCGAAATGATGTAGCTAGAAGATGGTGGAACCAAGATGGGAACCCAGGTTTGTCCAATTCCAAAGTCACTTTGCTTCACCACTCCACTTCCATTTTAGTAAGAAAGGATGCCAGTTCCCCTCTCCTGTTTCACTTCTGTGCTACCACAGAGCGACTTGTCTGCAGGTGACATGCCCCCTTTATATATTTATCTTACTTCCTTTCTCTCTTTCTCTCCCTCCCTCATTTCCTTCTCTCTCTTTCTTTTCTTTTCTTTTCTTTCCTCTCTCTCTCTCTCACTTTCTCTCTTTCCTTTGTTCCTTCATTCATTTTCTCTTTCTTTCTGATGGAGTCTTGCTCTGTTGCCCAGGCTGGAGTGCAGTGGCACAATCTTGGTTCATTGCAACCTCCACCTCCCAGGTTCAAGAAATTCTCCTGCCTCAGCCTCCTAAGCAGCTGAATTACAGGCACATGCCACCACGCCCGGCTAATTTTTTGTATTTTTACTAAAGACGGGATTTCACTGTGTTAGCCAGGATGGTCTTGATCTCCTGATCTTGTGATCTGCCCACGTTGGCCTCCCAAAGTGCAGGGATTACAGGTGTGAGCCACTGCGCCAGGCCTATGTATTTTTCATGATGAGGGAAGCTGAGCTGGGCTCCTGCAGTCAAAGCCAAGTGCCATTGTTCAGCTGGTAGCACTCACCTGACCACAGGGGCCTCAGGGAGAACAAGCCTCTGACGGCTGTTCCTGAAAACCAGTGCTTTATAAAGTGACTTAATGTAATAAAATATTTCAAAGAGGGGAATCCAGTCATTCCCATCATCACTGGGGACATAGGACACAGAAATCTTGCGACTGAAGTGCAAAGGGAAAGAGAGAAAGCTCCTGCAGAGAAAGGCTTCTGGGATGAAAGAGGGAAAAGGACTGAGTGGCTAAGAGGGAGCATTAAAGGAGAAGGGGAGGAAACTTAGAGGGTGGAGCATGGAACCTGCTATTTCCAACAACCAGAGTGGGACTCAGTTCTGAAGACATGGACGGTCTTTTACCCCAGTGCACCAAGGCTGCCATGTGGCAAGTGTTCAGTAAATGTTTCCTCATTTATAAAAGAATATGGGCTGGGATGGGGTAGGATGGATAACAAGCAATTATTGAGCACCAGATGTGTGCCAGGCACTTAGTGTTCTTGGACAGTGGTCATAACTCCACAAGGTAGGTGCTAACCACATTTAAATGAGGAAAACTAAGGTTTGGAGGGTTAATCTCCAATCTGCCCAAGTTGAACACTGGGTAGGTAATGAAACTAGAATTTCACTCCAGAATTACCTGATTCTAAAGCTATACTCTGTCCGTGATAGCTGGCTCCCTCATCAAAATGTTAGATAAGTGCCGCCATAACTTCCAAATAATGTCATTTAACCCAGTTACAATGCATAACTCTTTAAGAAAGCCCTTAAGAAATGAGGTGAATCATAGGCATGTTAGCAGAGAAGGAGGATAATATAGTTTTGTTTGGGTGAATCTTTTAGTACCTCCTGAAGATGGTCATGCAGTCCTTTGACTCATGGGAGCAACTCCTAGGACAGGTTAATATTCATTCATACAAATAGCCATTGAGCATCTGCTATTCACTGAGTGCTGTATTAGTGTCTAATACTGTGCCTGGCACATTGTAGGTCTTGAATACTATATTTATATAATGAACAAGGGAGTGAAAAAATGCTGGCCTCTGGAATCTTATCAAGTGGCATTTACAGCCCAGTGCCAAAGAAGACATCAAAATATTTCTATAGGAAAGATGCTGTGAAGATTATAAATTGCTTTGGTATCACACCATCGAGTGCATACTACAAGACTGATCACATTTCTATTTTGAAAAGCAAAATAAATACACAGGGTTCTTTGTGATGTCACTGACACGGGGCAAGGTTGTATTGCAGCTTAACTCCTGTTATTAGTTGGTTGAAGCCATTTTCCTGTTGGAAAAGTTAGATTTTCTCTGAAATGTTATGTTTAAAATCTTGTTGTGTCTCAGACATAAAATACTCTAAAAGTGAAAAGAAAAAGAAATTGTGAAAATTCCCAATATTTTTATGACCCACATAAAGAAGAGCAATAAAAATATTCTTTCGTGACCACAGTGCAAATGACTTAATGCTGTGACTAGAAATGACTCGATGTAAAACGCTGGGATGACAGTTTGATGTGCGTTTTGGAGTCCAGGCCAGGTCTCTCTCCCTTACTTCCTAGATTGAACAGTGACAAAGGCACAGTTCAGACGCTTCCCCAGGACCCAGCGGCTGCTATGATACATTCACCTGTGAAATCACTCATTTGCCTGGAAGAGAAAGAAATGTGGTTTTGAATGCTTTCCAGGACTAGTCTCCTACATTAGTGGGGGAGCTTCTGCCCAGGTGCAGAGTCCTCTTGTCCTGTAAACAACTCCAATTTTCAGCTGTGTGAAACTGGCAGGTTTCCAAACATCCAATTAAATAGAAAAGAAAATGCAAGACCAAATATGCCCTCCATTCTGAAGGCACCACTCAAATGGCCTGGGAGGGGGCTGTGAGCCACTTCTAGGTGAGATGCTCATGGTACGAGGGCAATTATGTAGACTATTGTCCTCTGTATCTTTTGACTTCTCCATCTGTACAATGGGTACAGCCTACTATCAGAGTGAGAAAGATGTCATGCAAAATGGTGAGGGTGGTTTTGAAAACTTTAATCAATTTAATTCAGTCAATAACCACAAAACAGCAGAATTCCACATAAGGAACATTAGGTCAAATACCCAACTTTAGGATATTTGGTGACAAAATTTTGTTTGTTCCTAAGTCAAGAATCATTTAATCTCCGCAATCCTCAGTGTTCTCATTCATAAAATGGAGATAATATTAGCATGTATAAGGTGAGACTGGATGAGGTTAGCAGCCTGGGATTTGCTGCCAGATGGTCCAGGCAGAATCTCAGTTCTGCCACTTACTGGCTTTGGACAAGTGAGCCTCAGTTTCCTGATCTGGAAAACGCATGTAAACAACCGAATCCACCTCCCAGAATCACAATAGTGAGGGTTTAATGAGACAGTGCATGTGAAATTCAGTGGCCAGCACACCATGCATGCTCAAAAAAGTAGCCCGTGTTGTCATTGAAACTACTGTGAGGATTGAGTTGAAAATGTGTATACAAAGAGGGTGTTAAACATTGCAGGGGCTCAGCTCGTGAAACTTAAGAATGTAAGCTCCTCCATGGTAGGGAGTATTGCATTCCCTAGCGTTGTTTAGTATATAATATCTGCTCAGTTTATGTAGTCCCTTGAATATTGAATGAATGAGCAATCACAATGATGATGTGTTCTTTTTCCCTTGTATAAGTATTTCCTGAACGAACCTTAGAGCCTCTACAACTCAACTGAATGATCTTTTGCTTTTTCTTGCCCTTCCTTCCAGGTCATCTCCCAGACCCTCTCTCCAACCTGGAACCAGATGCTGCTGTTCAATGACTTGGTGCTACATGGAGATGTGAAGGAGCTGGCAGAGTCCCCGCCCTTAGTGGTGGTGGAGCTATATGACAGTGACGCTGTGGTGAGTGTCCCCCGGGCCAGAACTGATCACACCTCATAAAAAATGCCACATTGAACTCACTTGATTTTAAAGTAAATAAAGTCTTAACACTGTGAGTGGTGAGAACACTAGATGTACTTAGAGGCAAACCTGACCTCTGAAAACAGTTCATAGAACCAAAAATATTATGATCATTTGCTTTACTGAAAGAGTTTTTCACTGATTCCCCTTTAAATGGCAATTAAAATTGAATCTGGTTTGCAGAACTTTGGTCTACACACTTCTTCAGGAATGTGATACTTGTTTTAAGCAACCTGCAGCTAATTCCAAGTTCTGTTTAATAAAAACGTCCACACCTTTTAGAAAGAGGAGGTTTTTACTGATCTCACCTGGCTGAAAAGAAATGGATGGGTATTCTCTTAGCCTTTTTAACTGTGTTTCTTTTTCTCTTACTTGTTGCTTCTAAGCCCCATACAACACATTAATCTCTATCCCTTTTATGATGTGAACCAAACCTTTTGTTCTCCAAAGATGTTTGTGTGCTGAAAGCTTGGATAGAGTCAAAGCTTACTGGAGGATTTTTTTAACTTACACAAATATTCTTTGCTTAAATTAGGAAGTCTACAATGAAAAGCACGGGTTTCTTTATTTAATGTCTCTACTTCCTAATGAGGTGGCAGAAGCACAAATTTATTAAGTAAAACGGTTGTTTGGGAAGCCTTCCCAAAGCTTCCCCACCTCCTTGCAACACTCCTGACAGCCCCTGCCTTTGGGCCAAGGTCAGAAGGGAATCAAGATGTGAGCATCACAGAAGAAGAGCAGAAACCTTGGACATGATGAAGTTCCCATCTTGCTTCCTAGAGGAGGAAACAGACACAGAAAGCTCAGATACCTTCTTTATAGTCACAGCTGGTTGGAGGCTGAACCAGGTCCCCTGTGCACACTTTTGCCTGTGCAGGTGGTGGAGGCTAGTGTAGCCGTCTCTCTCCTATACATGCACATTCCAGTCCTACAGGGCACTCCCTTTCTCTGGCCCCCATTCTCCTATCTATAAATTGGGGCTAGATGTGTATATTTATGGGAGAGGATTTCTACTTTTTAGCATGTAGTGCAGATGTTCTGTAGGGAAGACCACAAAATAACTACCTGTTCAGTTTTTTTCCCTAACAACATGCTTTCAATCGTTAATGTTTATTTTCTATGCAAAAAACAATAATGGCAGTAGAGCATCTTTGAACGTTCCTGTTACAATAACCTGCTGGGCTGGCTGTGTTTCCCTTTGCTGCCCCATTGCTTTTTATTTCCCTTTCAGATCTCCATTCAGCAGTAGCTTTTCCTGGCCCAACCCTAAGCTGAGCCCTTTACAGAGAAATTAAGCTGTGACGTTATTGACTCTAAAGGGAAAAAGAAATGTGGGAGAGAAAGGAATATGAAAATACACACTTTGCTCCCAGAGAAATACATATAGACATGCAAAAAAATTTTGTTTATCCTTGTGCACTGCAGCTAAACAGGGCCCAGAATCTGGTGATGCTCAGATTAATGGAATCAGAATCTGCTGGACCCATGCTTCCAGTCTAGAACCTTACCTCATTTCCCAGTGGCTTGTGCCCTCATAAGAGTCTGCTGGTTCTGGAAGAGATGAGTTTATATTTGGAAAATTGGTTGCTTGGGCTATGTTTACTCTTTTGAATTAAACATTCGCAGCTGGGTTCGTGAACAAATTGTTAGGCAGATCACTCATTTCCTATCCAGCTGCCCTAACTCCTCCCGTCCCCAGGACAGGCGTGTCTCCACTAGTGGACACCAGCAGGCAGCTTTGTTTTCAAGTGTGGTTGGACAAAAGTCCTGTTTCCACCTCAACCAAGTTTCCTTCTACAGCTGGGGATGCACATGTTGCTTCAGGAGTCCAGAGACAATGAAGTAGTGTGACTGCCAACACCCAGCCTCAGCCAAAAAGAACATGAGCACTGGCCTTGGACGGCAGAGGTCATTTACCCAACAGCTTTCACTCAGCAAACATGGATTGAGTATCTGCCCTGTGCCAGTGCAGTGAATAGTGCAGGCAACTCTGCCCACAAAGGACTTACATTCTAGCAGTTCTTGAAATAAATAGCACAGCCGAATGACTGTGCCAGCTGCCCCATGCTGCCTCTGAAGGAATGTGCACACAGGCTTGCAGAAAAGGCAGGAAGCAGAGCCATCACATAGTTCTTCCAGAAACATATGGCCTACATGCGTACATACATACATATTTTAATATCCTTTTTACTACCAAGAAAAATAGGGCAGGACTCCCCCATCGCTTAAACGTATTGATCATCTTCATCATTACTCTGTATTGGGCACTTGCATACCAGTCACTATGCAAAGCCTATACAGCATTCCTTTAGTCCTCATGATCCTATGGAAAGGTATTATGTTTAACTCTTTTTTAGGCATGAGGCTCTCAGAGTTTGAGCAGCTGGCCCAAGGGCATAGAGCTAGAAAGTGGCAGATGTGAGAGCTCAAACTGAAGGCTTCCTGGCTCCAAAGGTCGTGCTCCCAGCTACATTGCTGCCCTGCCCTGGAGATCCTTTGGAATGTTTACTGCCACCTGACTGTCCCTTTTCCCCTTCCAGTCTTCCCTGGCTAATTATTTTAACCATTTCCTACTGAGCTCAATATATGAGGAGAGAGATAGTCCCTAAGATAGCTTTGGGCCAGAAAGCCCCTAGGTTAACCTTTTTTTTTTTTTTTTTTTTTTTTTTTTTGTGACAGAGTCTTGCTCTGCCATCAGGCTAGAGTGCAGTGGCACCATCTCAGATCACTGCAACCTCCGTGTCCCAGGTTCAGCAACTCTCCTGCCTCAGCCTCTCGAGTAGCTGGGACTATAGGTGTGCACCACCATGCCCAGCTAATTTTTGTATTTTTAATAGAGACTATGGGGTTTCGTCATGTTGGCCAGGATGGTCTCGATCTCTTGACCTTGTGATCCGCCCACCTCAGCCTCTCAACATGCTGGAATTAAAGGCGTGAGGTCACCCAGCCAGGATGACACTTTCAGGAGCGTGAGTGGATCCCACTACTCCCCTAGGCTTATGAAAATGAGCAGGAGGAGCTTGGCAGGAGAAGAGAGTGAGACACGGATGCTGATGGTTTTGTGGATGTTATTTGTAAAATTGCATTGATGTGGATCAGAACCAGGTAATTAACAATCAGCAAATAAAAACTCATTTCTTTTCTGCTTTAGGGGAAGCCAGAATATTTGGGTGCCACAGTGGCTGCTCCTGTTGTGAAGCTGGCTGACCAGGACTATGAGCCTCCCAGGTTATGCTATCACCCCATCTTTTGTGGGAACCTCTCTGGCGGGGATCTCCTTGCTGTATTTGAACTGCTACAGGTGAGTGAACCCGATGTGGCACCAGATGTCTATCAGGACTACCTGGCCAGAGAGGTGACCTCACTACAATGAAGCTGTACCCGACCCCTCACTGCAGTCCCACATCTGAATGTGTCTCCTGGGGAACTGAGAGGTGCACTTAAGAATTCAGGTGTCTTGGACTATGCCCCTATTCCCTGAGCTTATAAGTCACAATCTCAGGATGAAAGATTCTTGTGATTTGGTCCCACTGTTCTCCCAGACACTCCAATTTGAAAATTCCGTAAGCCTTAATTCTTTATACCATGTCTTTATCCCTAGCCAGGCCAGCCTCGTAGATTGTTCCTTGAATGGTTCCCATCCTCTGTTCCCATGGCTCCTTTTAGTCCTCATATGAATGTTGCATTGGCTTCCTTGCTGGGCTACTGGCTCCTTTACTTTTCCTGTTCACTCATCCTCCATATTCCTTCCAGGACACTAGTTGGTATTACCACTTTTCTCTCCAGAAATCTTGAGTGGCTCTTACTTCTTACCACCAGGAGCATTTCCCAAAATCTGGGTGTTTTTGGAACACCACTCCCTCCAGATACAGTGACAAGAAAGCTTGAGAAAGGCTTTGTATTACATCCCTCTTGGGGATCTGAAATGCCAGTTACCATGGTAAAGGAACTGAGAAGTCTCGCAATGAAGAACCTTTTTTAACTTATTTTTCAAAACTTGGTATTTCCCAAATATATTTGATCACAAAACATTTTTTCCTGGTAAGTGTTAATATTCCCTGAAGACAAAATCTGGCCCTTAGGAGACTCACATTTCTGTAGCCTGGCTGTTAAGCTGTCCCAAAATTTGTCCTCAGACTACTTTTGTAGCCTCGCATTTTAGCATATTTCTCTACACACTACTGCCTATTTATACAAGGCTACTGTCATTTCCCTGCTCTCACAACACAAATTTACTCCTCTGCTTTTCAGGGTGCTGCCAGCCCATTTTGAAATGTCTCCTCACTCTGCTCACTCCGACCTCTATGACTGTATTTGCCTGTCTACAAAAATGGTCGTCATTAAAGTTCAGAACAAGAGATGCCTTTCAGTGGAATTACCCCACCCCACCTCAATTAAATGTCCTTTCCTCCAGCCTATACCTTTTTTCTGTTTAATTCAGGCTATGGTAAGGTCAGTTGTCTTTTCTCTTCTATAAGTTTTTGAAAGGCATTCATTCATTCATGCACTCAAACATGTATTGAGTGTCGACTGTGACATGTATATTCCTAAGGAATCTTCCTAAATGAACAAAACAAACAGATCTCCCAGCTCTCACAGGACTAAGTCTAGTTAGAAGGAGACAGTACACAACACTACTTAAAGTATTGCCACAGTATGCAAATTACATAGTAGGGTACAGTGTGGCAGCTGGTGAGGAGAAAAGCTGGACCCCTGGTGAGATGTGAAGTGGACATGTGTATGTTGGGAGCAGGGCTAGGGTTGACATTTTAGGTACATAGGGCAGCCCCAGTGAGAAAGCAGTGTTTAAGACAACACCTGAAGAAGGAAAGGGACTGGACCATGCAGCTAAGTGGGAAAAGAGCCTTTAGATGCAGAGGGAAGAGGAAAGACCAGACCCTGAAGCCTCTGTATGCCTTGCATGCTCAAGGAGGCCACTGTGGCTGGAGTGGACAAATGACAGGAAGGGGAAGGGAGATGAGGCCAGTGGGAAAAGATCACATCGGGTCTGGTAAGGACTCTGACTTTTATTCTGGGAGAGATGGGAAGCCAAGAGAGGACTCTTGGCACGATGACTTATGTTGCAACACGAAGGTGCTGGATCCAGTACATTCGAAGGGGTAAGGAGAGAAGCAGAAAGGCCCATTGGAAGACTCTTGAATCTACTAAAGGCATCTGGAATCTGTAGCCATGGAAAGGAAGAGAGGTGGGCTCTGCATGTATTTTAAAGGTAGAATCTTTTGGATCGACTGATGAGATTTGACATGTGAAGTTTATCTCCACATCACACAGAAAAGCCAACAATATTTTACACATTGTAGACTCTCAGCAAAACATTTTGTGTGAGCCTGGTGGTTCAAACCTGTAGTCCCAGGACTTCAGGAGGCTGAGGTAGGAGGATCGCTTGAGCCCAGGAGTTTGAGACCAGCCTGGGCAATGTGGCAAGACCTCAGCTCTACAAAAAATAAAAAATTACCTGGAGGAGGCTACAGTGAGCTAAGATTGTGCTACTGAACTCAAGCCTGGGTGACAGAGCAAGACCCTGTCTTGGAAAAAATAAAATGCACCCGTTTACTCTTTCAAAGAACAAATATTCATGGAATTCTATGTGTGAGCCAGATTTCAACTGTTGGGCCATTTCCCAGGCCCTTCATTGCAATAACCCTTTCTGTGATCTCAGAATTGTCTGCTGCTATTCATACTTTGGCCTTCTTTTCCATTCTCTATACTTAGAACACTCGTTTCCTCTACTTTTATAATGTTTCTCTTGTTTTCAGAACTCGCTCTCTCCAATTAGAGTTTTCCTCCCTTCTGCTGCTTGAATGTCCTCCTCCTGGAAAGTCCACCTCCCTTTCTTAGAATGTTTTGCTTCCTGTGTTAGTTTACTATTGCTGTGCCCACAGACATGGTGGCTTAAGACAACGCAATTTACTATCTTATGGTTCTGCAGGTCAGATATTTGGAAGGGTCCCTCCTCCGGGCATCAGCAAGGCTGCATTCCTTCCAGAGGCTCTAGGGGAATCTGTTTCCTTGTCTTTTCTGGTTTCTGGGGATGGCCTGCATCCCTTGGCCGGTGGCCCTCCCTTTACCTTTAAGCCAGCCACATAGCTTCTTCAAGTCTCAGTCTCTTCATTGTCTCTTTCTCCCCTCAACTTCCTGTCTACTTCCATTATCACATCTCCTCCTACTCTGACTCTCCTGCTGCCGTCTCATGAGGACCCTCAAGATTATGTAGGGCCCACCCTGATAACCCAGGATAAACTCCTCATCCCAAGGTCCTCAATTTAATCACACCTGCCACGTCTCTTTTTGCCATGTAAGGTAACATACTTACAGGTTCTGAGGATTAGGATATGAACATCTTTGGGGAGCCATTATTTTGCCCAAAACACTTCTCAATTCCTAGAAATATCTCCTTAGGCTTCCTACAGGGGTAGCACATGACACACCCCCAGAAGGGGCCACGGCTGCTTGGTCTGTGTGACTGGCACCCCTTTTGGCTGTGCAGTGTGCAGGCTTCATGGATTTATGTGTTAACTGCCTGCTTAGAATCCATTCTTCCCTTTCATTAAACTTTCTAGGAATCTTTCTCTTAACATGTGAGTGTTCTCTAATTTTTTCATTTTTTTTTTAATCTTCTTTGTCTATATAGTATAGATTTAACCTAAGTTCTATTGGCTTAAGAAATGAGATATTCTTCTCTGATGCTTGGCACTCATTAAGTCTTCTCATTGAAGTCTGAGTTAGATGATTTGATTAGCTTCAGACAGTATCTCTGTGTGATCTTTCTCCCTGTTTTAAAGGTAAAGTGTTATTAACAGTTTACTGACCTACTAGTGAAGACTTGGCAGAAGGCATCCACCCTAAAATAGGCTTAGTTAGGGGTCAGGGAGGGAAAGCTGGCTGATCCTTACATATTATTAAGAACTTCCAGGTTGGGCATGGTGACTCACGCCTATAATTCCAGCACTTTGGAAGGCCAAGGCAGGTGCATTACCTGAGGCTGGGAGTTCAAGACCAGCCTGGCTAACATAGTGAAACCCTATCTCTACTAAAAATAAAAAATTAACTGGGTATAGTGGTACATGCATGTAATCACAGCTACTAGGGAGGCTGAGGCAGGAGAATTGCTTGAACCCAGGAGGTAGAGGTTGCAGTGGGTGGGGATCACACCACTGCACAACAGTGTGGGTGACAGAGTAAGACTCTGTCTCCAACAACGACAACAAACTTCCAGTAGAGGCCCTGCTCAAGCCCTGAAGACAATCTCCTCAAATCACCAAGTTTATCTTGGTGCTCACACTTCCCTCTTCTGGTGGCCAGCAAGTCAGCATATTTGGCTTGCTGTCCACCTTTCTCCCTGGGTTGCACTGTCTGCTGCAATTCCATCTAAGTGAAGGTATTCAGGTGTGTTTCTGGCTTTGCCATAATCTCACTTTTTGATGTTGGGGCCATTAAATTCCCTCTTAGGTTTTTTTGTTTTGTTTGCCTGGGTTGGAAACAGTTTTATTTCAGCAAGCTGAAGATATTATTCCATTGTTTGGGCTGTGCTTTCTTTTTTGAGAGGTTGGTTATCATTCTTATTGTTGCTCCTTAAAAAGTGATCTTTATATTTTCCCTTATCTGATTGTTTTTAAGGTCTTTTTCTTTATTTTTGGTTTTTAGCAGTTTTACTATGTTGTAGTAAAGTACAGTTTTCTTTGTTTTTATCTTGTTGGGTTTCATAGAGCTTTTAAAAGCATGGCTTGATGTTTTAAATGAGGTTTGGAGATTTGCCAGCCTTTATCTATTCAAAGATTGCTTCTGTTCGATTCTGTGCTTCCTATTTTCTCTTCCCTCCTCTCTCTCCTCTCCTTGCCTCACTTCTTTTTGCCTCACTCTTTTGCCCCTCCTCCTCTTTGCTGCTCCTCTGTGACTCCAATTACATGTGTGTTAGATCTTTTAATTAGATATACTGTGCCTCTCATGTTCTTTTATGCATTGTCTATCATTTGTCTCTCTGAGCTTTATTTTATTCATAATATGGCCTATCTTCCCAATCATTTTCCCTGCCTCTTTTTAAAAACCTATTCACTAAGTTCTTCTTTCCAGTGACTATATTTTCAGTTGTAGAATTTCCATTTCTTCTTTTTTATTACAGATTTCATTTATCTATTGAAATTTTTATCTGGTTTCCTATTGAACAGATTAAGCATTGCTACTTTAAAGTTCATGTCTTATTACCACATAATCTGAATCCTCTATGGGTCTGTTTCTTCGGTTCGTTTCTCTTGCTAATCACATTGTCTTATCTCTGTGCATGCCGTATTTTATTGCATGCTAGACACTTCTACATAAAAATATGTAGAAAAAATTTGAGCCTAGGCTGATATTTCCCTTCAGAGGATTTAAATTTACTTCTGAGGTAGTTTGGGACAGCTAGCACTCCCAGGTCATCTAGATCCAATTAAAGATTAAGATGACTTGAAGTTGAGCTTTAATCGTTGCAAGGGTCTGTAAATTTCCAGCTCTCCCTTATTCCTAGGGAACTCTCCACGTGCCAGAAAGTACGCCAAGTGCTTTACAAGCTGTCTCAGCAACTCTTCACAACAACTTTATGAATTAGATATTATCTTCATTTTACAAATGACAGAATTGAGACTCTGAGATATTGAGTGAACTTTTCCAAGTTCATGCAGCTAGCAGTGGTGGAGCCCAAGTAACCACTGCACTGGAGGTGAGATATAACAGAAGCATAAATTATGGGCTGAGGGAGAGAGAAGGGAGAAAGGCTTCTGAGCATCCGTGATTTTTCAGATGGGCAGGGCTGGGACTAGGGTCATGCATGACCCAAAGAGTGATTGCCTCCTTAACTTTTGTACCATATGTGCCACTCTTGTTCACCCTTGTCCTGACCCTGAAGCTGGACCTACTTTGAGGTCCTGATATTTTACTTCCACGGGGATATTAGAGCAGTCTGGCTTTGAGACTGCTCTAATATCCCCGTGGATAACTACCCATCCTGCTCACCCCCAATTCTTACTATTTTGCCTTCATAGCAATCGCTTGTTTTACCCTGGCCCTATATGCTGAGTAACTGCATATCATATGTTTTATAGGCCAGCAACCAACTCATTTCACTGGAAAAAGCTTAATCTTGGCTGGCGGAAAAGTCATTCAATTGCCACCATGTTACAGGATTCTTTCAGGGCTGTGTTGAGCTCTTCACAGCATTTTTCAGGCACTTATGGAGCAAAAATTCTTTGGCATTTCCCAGGCTGACACTTCAGCAGCGCCAGGATAAAACATATGATGCTTTTTAAAAAGCACATCCAGAGGCAGCCCCTCCTGTGCCACCATCACAGCTGTTTTGTGACTTTCCCTTTGAAGCCAGAGGGGCTATTAACTTTCCCAGTGAGGTGATACTTACAGGCTAAATTGCTCACCTCTTCACTGCCAGGAAATAATGGGCATTGCCATCCTCATCATTTACCAGCTTCTTGATCTGGGCGGGTACATCTGCAGCTTCATTACCTTGAGTCTATTTTGTACTTGCAGGGTCTGCTCTCCTTTTTTTGAGCGTTCTTGTAATTAGCTTAACCACATCTGCTGTTGCCAACTAGAATATGTCTGTGAAAAAAGAAAATATATTTACACTTTGCAGATTTTGATACACAATTAGGCTTTTTCTAGCGTACGGAGCATGTGGTCTAATATGTCAGTTAACTAATCAACATTTATCCAGAACTCACCACATATGGAGGGGCTTGGAGACTGAAGTGAATAAAGACTTCCCCTTGGCCAAGTCCCTGTAAATTGTTCAGGCAGACAAACAGCCCCGGTAAAGAGAGCTACCTGCTCTAAGGCAATGTTTAATAGAACACCTGATTCCCAAGGAGCTTGATGGGTCATCTGGCCCAATATCTGAGGCTCAGAGAGGGCAAGTTACTTGTGCAGGGTCACACAGCAGAGCATGATTTCTGGACTCAGTCCCCTAATTTCTGCACAAAATCTGCATAACAGGACATATTGCATTCAAAAGGCATTTATGACAGAAGCAGCTGGAATCAGGTCAGGAAAGCTTCTTTGATTATTTTTTCCTTTGGAGAAAGATTCTTGAAAGACGTATGTGTCAAACCAGGTTTTGAGGGCAGTGTGAGATGGCCTACACAGTGAAAAATACCCTTTTCTCAATAGAACTCTGTAAGTCCTTTGTGTGAAATTTCAGCAAAGCTGAAATTGACCTGAAGTTTCATTAACTCCAAGAGCACAAGAAGCGACATGTTTTTATCTTAGAGTTCTGCCTTCAAAACATTTTATTTTCTGCTTCACTGATTAAGATGTAGTCTCTGTTGGATCAAACATAAATCCTTTTTATTTTTTTGTAGTAGTGCATAATGGCTTTTCTGGAGATTCTTGACACATCGAAGGGGTGGGGATCTTTAAGACTCAAATGTTTGGAATCTGATGAAAGCTCCTTCTCCACTACCCTCCTGTGGTTCTTGTGTAATTTTATGAAGTTGAGAAACTCTATCATCCATATTTGTTCTTTCCCTCTATACTGTGAGCTTACTAAAAGCTCTGTGTTGTTAGTTGTTAGCCTTGTGGCACACCTTAAGTGATCGCTAAATGTTGGTTACCCTTGTAAATGAACATGTTTATCAGTGAACAAATAAATATGGTAAAATGCATGGCCCTTGTATTTTAAGCTGGAAACATTGCTTTTGCTAACAAAACAGTGAAGGTGTTACTGATGAGGTGGTTGTGTGGCGCTGTTGCCTTCCTTGTGTCTCTCCGGCGTCTAACTCACCCTTGCCTTGTATGGTAGGTCCCGCCATCTGGGCTGCAGGGGCTCCCACCCATTGAGCCACCAGACATCACCCAGATCTACCCGGTTCCTGCCAACATTCGGCCGGTGCTGAGCAAATACCGAGTGGAGGTACGGGTCAAGGGAGGAGCTGAGTTGTTCTCTGGGACTCAAGGGCAGTGGCCCTGCCTGAATTGTAGAAGAGGTGGAATGGAATGAGCAGGAGACCTAGATAAAAAGAATGAGCCCTTAAGGATCTGTGCAGTTCTTTCCTGGAGGAACATAACGTGGTTCTTAGGGAGCAGGTCTGACTTGTCCACCCAAAGTCGGGGCAGGGGTGGGGCTCCTCCGTGGGTCTGTGGTGACAGCTCTGCTGGTTGTCTTCTTAGGTTCTCTTCTGGGGAGTTCGTGAAATGAAGAAGGTGCAGCTCCTCTCGGTGGATCGGCCCCAGGTTCTCATCGAGTGTGGAGGACGAGGCGTGAAGTCCTGTGTGATCCAGAGCTACAAGAACAACCCGAACTTCAGCGTCCAGGCTGATGCTTTCGAAGTGGTGGGAGTTTCTTACTTTCCTGACCTGGCTTATTGCTCATTTTTCCACGATGAGATGTTTTAGAATTTCAGATGTCCACTACCTGCGAGAAAGAACTAATTTAGTGAAAAGCCAGAATTTCACAATGAGCTAAAATAGGCTTTTGTTGTTGTTTTGTTTTGAAGCTTCCAGTGTTGATCATACAACAATCAAAGCAGGTTGACAAACTTTGCCCAGAACTGTGGTTTCCAAGGTGTGGTCCCCAATTCATCAACATCAGCATCACCTGAGAACTTGCTAGAAATGCTCATTCTTAGGCCCCACTTGTTCTGAATCAGAAACTGTTGTGGGGAGGGCCAGACATCTCTGTTTTAACAAGGCTTCCAGGTGATTCTGATATACACTAAAATCTGAGAACCACTGGTTTACAAAATTTATTTTAATGGCTACATTTTAAAAAAAAGTATTTGTACTTAGAATGTCAAGAGTTTACATGTGAATTTAGGCTTCTGAAGTGATTTTTCGACATCTGTGCTGTGCTTTTATTTCAATATTTCAACATATTTTTTGTGCTTTGATTTGAAACTAATCGCAAAGAAAAAAATTGCTTTATGCAACCCAGCCTGCTCCACTGGGCGTATGTCCCCAGTTAGCAAAGGCCGCAATGGAAGACTATGCATGGTGCTTGCAAACCTTTTCTATCAGGCTGCAGTGAGTCTCAGGGGCCACCAGGGAAAACAAGTGGCTGGGGCACTGCCCCCTCAATCTCAGCTCTGTACCAAATGGCCCAACTTTCATCTCTTTTATATAATGGCCCTAGAGAAACTGTCATTGGAGATGAGAGTTCTGCTGTCAGATAATGACAAAATAAGAGGTCTGAAAATGACTGCGAGAGAGAGATTTTTGTCATTTAAACCTGGGACAAATTGTTATTAAGGCAGACTTCCTATCTGGGTGAATTACCCCCTGGCTTGGGAAGACACTGCTTCAGAGTTTTGGCAAGCTGTAGGACTGGCCAGGAGGGACAGAGTGGCAAGGTGGGGACAAGGGAGGCTGGATGTCCAGCTTGCTTTGGCTCTGCCCATGGAAAGATCAGCAGGGCTCAAGCAGCCAGGCCCAGTGCCCTCTTCATTCCAGCCTCTCCCTGCAGGAACTGCCTGAGAACGAGCTTCTGCACCCACCACTGAGCATCTGTGTGGTAGACTGGAGAGCTTTTGGGAGAAGTACGCTTGTGGGAACCTACACCATCAACTACTTGAAGCAGTTTTTATGTGAATCCAGAGAGCCCCTTGCCCTCATCTCACAGGTGGACGGAACCCAAGTTGGGCATGGTGAGAAGCTGCTCCTAGATTTTGTAGCTGTAACTATAAAGTCATGGCCCCTGCAGAGTGCCTGCTATGGGATTGGCTCAAATGATGCCCCACAGCCAAGTGGCTGGGTGGATCTTTCCGATGAGCTTGCTCCTGCAGTGGCCTCTGCTTTTGTTGGCTGCCACACTCTTACTTTAACTCATATCAGGTCAATTTCTCTAAGACACCTTCCTTGACTATGACTTAAGCTCCTTCCTGCCTCCACTCTGACATTTTACTTGGCTCTGTGCTTGATGTTGTTTCAGTTTGTTCCATTTTGGGTCTCAGGCGCACAGAGTTGAGTTCATTGCATGTCTCATTTCCATGCTGTATAATCGTCATTGGTCTATTCAAAGATTCTTTCTTATTCTATCCACGGTCCTCCTACACCTTATTCCTATCTCTAATCCCAGTCTCCTCCCCGCTGCAGGCCCTACACCACCATCCTTGTCAAATTTAAATCGATTTAATCTACCTAAATAATATGATGCTATGATTTTCATTTGGTTTCCTGTTCTTTTCACTCAATTCTGGGTTTTAAGATCTGTCCATATTGCTGTGTGTACATTAGCCTGTTACTGCTCCTCACTGCATCTACCACACTTGACTTTGCCTTTCCTCTCATATTAGACCCACTGGCTGCCTCAACTCCCTCTTCCACAGTCAGTGCTGCAATGAATAGCCCTGTGTGTGTTCCCTGAGGGAAGATGCTATGTGGGAATTTCTCTGGCATGTACACCCAGGGGTGAGACTGCTGGGTCCCAAGAAATACGCACATCTATTTTCATTAATTAGAGCCAGGGCCACTCCAGAGAGCTTCACTGATCTATGCCAGTCTATATCAGTCTATACTGCCATTACTGCATTTGGAACCCCATTTTTCTCCTCAGCAGCACCTCCTATTATCCAACTTTCTAAATTTTTGTTTTGCTTTGGTTTGGTTTTAGTTTTTTGCTACTCTGTGGATATAAATTAGTATCTCTTTTTTTATTTTAACTTGAATTTCTCTGCTTGCTACTGTTTGTACATACTTCATACCTGACTGCCATATTAATCTTCCTTCTGTGATGCTGGCTCATGTCTTTTGCCCATATTTTATGTGCTATAATTTTCTTTTTGATTCACAAATTCTTTGTATTTTCTAGATATTAAAATCCTGTAGATTGTAGATATCATTGGGTTAAATTTTCTGTTGAAAAGTCAGCAAATGGGGAGGGAGAAACTCTGGAGGCTGTAGCAGCCATGGGGGTACCCAACTGGGAAATGTTCCTAAGTACTGTCTCCTACAGCATAAAACAGTGAGACGAGGACCTTTGGCAATGAAGGCCAGTGTTACAACCTTTCTATGGCGTCAACAGCCCAGTTAAGAATCTCATGAAGCTCTGGACATACCCCTGCTCCCTGCCAAGCACATGTACTTATGTGCCCAGAGTTCTACTTACAGTTGGGAGGTTCCTGGCCCTCTGGAGCTCTAAAGGCTCCCCAGATTAACGCACAGCAGGAGTCAATCTCCCCAGAAACAGAATCTGTATCCTAAACCTTGATTTTCATGATCCCAATGACCACGACTGATTAAAATTACTTTGAGGGATCAATAACAAATACAACCATTTATGGATGACCTACTATGTGCCAGATGCCTTACATCATGGTCTCATTTCATCCTCCCAATGAGATGGGTATTTTTACTGTCATTTTATAAATAAGGAAATGAGGTTCTGAAATATCAGGAACCTGGCATATTTGAATCCGGATCTGTGTGATTCCTAGTATTAGATCCCTGAAATGACCACCCTGTGATGCAGCCTAGTTCCCTGACCTGATGTGCTTTCATTTTAGAGATTTCAGATTCACTAACAGCCACTGAGTCCACTGGAGCCACCAGCACCTCCCAGGATCTCCCAACAGATGACATTTATGTGGATGTTGAGCCACCTCCCACAGTGGTGCCCGACTCTGCCCAGGTTCAGCCAGCCATCGTGGTTGACATCCCTGACTCATCCCCGATGCTGGAGCCTGAACACAAACCTGTAGCCGGGGAGCCACCAAAAGATGGAAAACCTAAGGTCAGACTAAAATCCCTCTCCATATTACAAGGTTCATTGGAGTTTGCATTGGAGGCTTCAGACAATATGAAGCTGCTTGTGGGTGACCATGGGCAAGCAGCTTCACATTTCTGAGTATCAGTTCATCCTTTGTAAAATGGGGATGTTGATATCCACTTCACAGCATTGTTGGTCTAAGTATTATACCTCCATGATTCCCTGTTATAGAATCAGAAAGTTAATGTGCATGAAATCAGAGTGCTAGTCAAATGTGGCAGTAATATTTAATTGAACAGAAACTCTTCTTAATTCATTAGCTAGGAAAGACCATGGGTTTCTTCATGCAAGTGTGTTCCACAAATATTTAGACCATACTTTGTACAGGGTCATATGGGATTGACAAATACATAACCACAAAACAAGTTAATCTTTCTAAATTATACGTTTGAATGAAGAGTCTTTCTAAATTATATATTTTAGTGAAAAATCTTGGTGTATCAATTGCATTAAAAGAGAAGGCCATTTTAAGAAGGTCTTAAGGAGCCAGGTGTACTGACTCACTAAAAAAAAAAAAAAAATACTAAAAATTAGCCAGGTGTGGTGGCACTCACCTGTAATCCCTACTGCTCCAGAGGCTGAGGCAGGAGAATCACTTGAGCCTGGGAGGTGGAGGCTGCAATGAGGCAAGATTGTGCCACTGCACTCCAGCCTGGGCACCAGAGTGAGGCTCTGTCTGTCCTCCAAAAAAAAGTCTTAAGGAACAGCCTGCCCAGCAAATGGCAAAGGCTGAAATAAAAAGAACAGAGGAAAAGTGAGGTAGATGCATGGCAATTTGCACAGGTCGTTCTCATCTCATCCATGGTCAGTGACCTCTCTGATGTCTTACTAGGTTTGCTGCATTCTCCTAGCATTGCACCTGTGACTTTCTGTTGAATTCTCAGATTCAGTGTTCATCTCAGAGCCATAAAGCTGTGAGCTGCAGCAGGGAAGAGATAATTTTTCAATATCTCTGTATCCTCTGCACCTGATAGAGTGCCTAGGTCATAGTATGGACTCGAGATGATTTGGTGAGTGAATAGAAGATGAATGCATAATAAGTCCTGCACCCATAGCTGCAGCAGACGCCTGTCTTCTCCCACAAATGCCTCCTTTCTGCCACATGTCTGTCACTCCCTCTACTGCCACCCCAACGCTTATGTGATAGATGTCATTTACTTGTATCCATTCAAATCAGAAACGACACCAAAGAATTGCCTAAATTATGTCACTTAATCCTCACGACAGTGGTGGGCATTATTGTCCCTAGTTGAGGAAACTGAGAATTATAACATTTATATTAATTGCTTAATGATTTATAACCCAGGTCTGTCAGAAACTAATGCCTTTTCTGCTATGTCACATTGCATCATATAGTCTAGTTCTTATTTGTTGCATGCCTAGCTCCTGTACTCTAAGCTACCCAGTGTGGGATTTTGTCTAATTATCTACACATCCTCAGTGTCAAAAACAGTATCTCACACATGCTTAATAAATGCTAAATAAATGAAGGAATGATCAATAGATTCTTGAGCTTTCCTTTGTGGAAGTGATACAGAGAGCTGCTACCACAAAACCAGTGGATACCTCTGTGTGTTTTCCAGTGGACACCTAAATGTTTTCTTCCTCACAGGCCAGTTGACCAGGATGTAGCCAAATGAGGCTGAACTAATAATCCATCCTTCATCCCTTGCCAGGATCCTAGGACACCTTCCCGAAGGTCCACAAAGAGAAAAAAGAGAACCATAGCAGATGAATCTGCTGAAAACGTGATTGACTGGTGGTCTAAGTATTATGCCTCCCTGAAGAAAGCACAGAAGGTAGAGTCTCCCCTACCTGTGGCAGTCAAGAGACTCAATAAGAAAACACAGTACCTTCTCCCATCCTGAGTCCTTCATAACCTCCTTTTAAATGCCACTATACATAGGCCCTACTCAGGTGTGGTTTGGTTAACTGCAGAAGGGTAAAAAGCCTGGAAGAACCAGAAATCCTGAATTACAAAATTCCCACTTTTTGGCTGGAGCTGGCCCTAGGACACAAACTCTGCTGTAAATACTGGAAGGATGTTGACTCCAGTGTGGCGTCTGGAGGATCTGCCTCCCAGTCAGACTCAGGGGGGTCCAGCAGGAAGAAATGGGGTCTCTGAACAGGGAGGCATCAACGATTAGAGCCTCAGGAGATAACCCCAGTCTAAGGGCCTCAAGTCTCCAGCAGGATTCTGAGTTCACATGGGAAATTATCAAAGGCAGAGGCCTTGGCCTTAGCAAATGTTATTATAAGTAGGTTTGCATAGCAAGAGCATGGCCTCATGTCCATGGAACGAGATAGATCTAGTTATAAAGCTGGAGAGCCAGTGGGGACTATGCCTGGAGAGTGAGGCAAAAACTCAGCAACTGGATGTGATAAGATTTCTCATCCTTAAGTACAAAAGGGAAGAAAAATTAGTCGGATGTTATGTTTAATTGAATACTCTTCTGTCATTTGGAAAGGCTATGGTTGCATCTAGGACTATTTCTCAAATATTGATATGTACTAAAAGAGCAAATGTTAGCCCCTGCCTCCAACCTCCCTCCTTTTGCTGCGATGGACACTATCACTTCCTGTGAGAACTTGGCCCCTTCCCCTTTATCTGCTAACCTACCCAATCTGTGATACCATTCCAAGGACCAGACACGCCAACAGACACAGCTCATAGTGCAGACCAGGGCGATGCTCCAGGGAGGTGGAAAAATACTGGGGAGAGAGTTTGCTTGCCTTGTGGCTGAGGTACTGCATATAGGAGATAAAGATGTCTTGATCACACTTTTCTTAGATGTGTGGATGCCTCTTTTCTAGGACAGGGAGTAGCCCCCAGATCTTTACAAAAAAATGAGACTTCATTTTTGGGGACTGCTTAGAGACTGTTTGAATACTTTTAAAATGGTGTGTCTGGAAATGCAGAAGGCTGAGATCATTGCATTAGAATTGTAAGTCAGAATTAATAAATCGAGTATCGCAGTGTCAATAATCTTGTCTCTTCCTTTTTCAAAGGCAAAGGAGAGCAATCCCAAGAAGAAAAAAGGCAATATGGGTAAGCAGCTTTTCTGGGAACATTTGTCCATATAATAGGGCCATTTTTAGGAGAAAATTACAAAATGGAAGCCATGGTAGGTATATTAGAGCTCAACTCCCTCCTTTCCCAAGTTTAGAAACAATCTCAGGAAGAGGACAGCACTTTAAAATGTGGTCATGTGGCTCTTGGTGCTGGGCTAGAACCAGATCTCAGTTCTTCTGAATCCAGTTCAGGGCTGGAATGGACCCTTTGGCTCAAGTCCCTACGCTGACAGTCTTAATGTAGAAACCATAGAATAAAAATTGAAGTAATCTGGGATGGCCGGCCAAAATCAACATGATAAACTTTATTAGAGGTGAGTGTGAAGGCCTGGATTTAGGTTCCAAAACTCAGTTTACAGGATTGAGTAGATCTTGTTTGGCAGGAGCTCAAAAGAGAGGCTTCAGATTTCAAATTACCACAAACTCAATTTAAGCCAACAGTAGTTATCAGCCTAAATATAAGCAGCCAGTGTTGTTTCATTTGACGTTGATAGAAGTGGAAAACCAGAGCCAGGCTCAGTTCCTCAGACCACTTCTAATTAGCACATGTAATTCTAAGACCAACCCCACATCACAGGAAATAGTATCTTCATCTTACAAATAATGAAACAGAGGTACAAAGAGGGCAAGCAATTTGTCCAACATTACACAGCTAGAAAATAACAGAGCTAGAGTCCATATCTGGTGGTTTCTCCCCTGAAGAGTCTGCTGCTAAAAAATTGCTAAGTACTCCCACTAACAACTTTGCACGAGACCCTTAAGATATTTGAACCTCATGTTGAACTAAATGAATCTCAAGTCCCTTAACAGATCTGAGATGGAGTGAATGCAAAAAGCTTTGGCATCAGTCCAAGTCCCAAGTCTGTTCTTTGCTAGTTGGGTGAAGGGGCAAATTACTTATTCTCTCTGTGCCTAGTTTAATGAGTTCTTATGTGTGCTGTAACAGGCCAGCACGTTGCCCAGCCCTAGGGGATCCACTGACATTGCATTTATATGCGCATGTGGTATGTTGCAGTCATGGAGTGTACAGACTGTATGTAACAATCCTACAGCAAAAAGTTACTATTTCTTTTTAAAAAGAAGGGTCACAGCATAGGACATGCCTGAGCAAAAGGAAAGGAGAAGCTGGGCTTTGTTCCTTCTCATCTTAACCACCAGGAAAAATCTAATTTCTGCTGAATGTCCACAGAGGCAAAGCCAGATGAGGTAGTGGTAGATCTAGAAGATGGCCCAAAGAAGAAGAAAGATAAAATGCCCAAGAAGAAACTCAAAGATGATGGAATCCCCAACCTGGCCATCTTGCAGGTGTGTGGGGACATAGGCATCTCTGCCATGGGTGGGAAGGGATGCTCAGCAATGAGGTTCAGTTAGTGCTCTGGTTAACCCTAGTCATGCCTTTGTTTGACCAACTTACTTTGTCTTCATTATCACTGATGTAGAGAAGTAAACTTTGATGTGCATTTAAACCAAGACAAGGGAGCTTGTTCATTTTCCATTTTCTATACCCTCATATTGAGAAGGGGCATAACTTAAATTGTTTATTGTGGACCTGGCAAAGTAATCTACAGCATTTGAGTCCCCCTTCACTCACCTCTAGGTGCCTGACATCATCATGCAGATGTGTACACACTCAAGGTAGCAGGAGATTTAACTCCAACTAAAGTCAGTTCCATCAGGCCAATCTTAACATTAGTCACAGGAGATTAGCTAGAGGTATACTGATGGCTATGAAAATTTGAAGTGTAAAAATTACGTATCTAGGTAACCAATTTGGGTAAGCAATTTATACAGGAAAGTTGAACAAGTAATTTATTATACTACCAAACCTAAAACTCAACTCAATTTTGCATTTCCAAAACATATATATATATATATATATATATATATATATATATATATAATTTTCCACTTGGAAAATTCATGTGTATATGCATTACAATAAAAACAAATATTCCATTACTTTATATGTGTTAAAAATTGGATATTTAATGAACATTATTGATTTGAATCTCCTCAAAATATAGTCTATATCCAACAACCAATGGCATCAATTAGCTCTAAAGGTTTGTTGTATTTATACTTGTATGTTACAACTTTTTTTATTTATCTATACTTTTTGGAATTTAAAAGTCATCAACAAATTTCATAAAATGCAGAGTAGTAGTTTCAGGAGTGCTGAGCGAATCCATGTTTCTTATCTTGCTGAAGATAAATTACCAACAGCCTCAGATTTTTCCGAAGGGCATATATCGAGGCTGGTTTTGGAGAATCTTGGCATTTCTCATTATATCAATCCTGGGCCTTCCTTCCTCTTAGAACAGTATTCTCCCCTTTCCCTAAAGATATATGATGGTGATCTCGAGAGTGAATTCAACAATTTTGAAGACTGGGTGAAAACCTTTGAGCTCTTCAGAGGCAAGTCTACAGAAGATGACCATGGTCTTGATGGAGACCGAGTTATAGGAAAATTTAAGGCAGGTTCCATTGTTCATCCTTTCATTTGTCTCTCCCTGTTCATAAATATCAGGTAGGTCTCAATTCAGTTAATGGAATTGTGCAGTGCGGGATGTGTGTAGGGAAAATCCTTAATTTTTACTCAGGTTCCTTTCTAGAACGCCACAAAACCAAGCCCCAGTATTTTAAGATATTTTTGGCCTGTGACCAGTGGATTGGAGCTCAGTCTGGTGAAAAATAAGGAGACAGAGTCATTACCTGAAAGAAACACTGAACTTTACTTTGTTCTGTCCTTAATTTTTACTCAAGTCCCTCTCTAGAACCCCACAAAACCCAGTCCCAATCCTTTAAGGTATTTTTGGCTTGTGACCAGTGGATTGGAGCTCAGTCTGGTGAAGAATAAGGAGACAGAATCATTACCTGAAAGGAACACTGAACTTTACTTTGTTCTCTCCACCCCTGGCATACCAAATGTGTGATTTACGCAAACCCATCATCAGTTGGACAATTAAACTAATCAAACAACACAAGCCCTTCATTTGGCAGACTTACAGTGTGAACATCACAAAGTAGTGGCCAGTATTCACTATAAACCTACTACAAGCTGGGCCTTTCCATGCAGCATGCTATGTTGGAAATAGCACAGACATTGCAGTTTGCCCATCTGGATTCAAATCCTAGTTATAGTACTAACCAGCTGCATGATCTGCAACAAAGTGCTTCACTCCCCTAAGCCTCAGTTGCTATGTCTGGAAATAGGAATACTGTAGTCAGAATTGAATGAGATAATGGGGGATGCACTAGCACAGCACCCCACATGTAAAACACACTTGGTGTCCCATCTGTTCTGTTCCTCATACAACATTTCTGTGAGGAGGGTGTTAATGTGCAATATCAATTCACTGGTGTATCATGAAGAAGCTCAGATGCCAGCAGGCTGCATAAATTGTCCAAGGATATCCAACTGGCAAGTTTAGCACCAACCCAGGTCCTGTGGATTCCCAGGCTGTGCTCTCTGTGGGTTTTGGTGGGACATATGACCATCTCATTTCAATGGGTTGCATTTTGTGGTTCCAGGGCTCCTTCTGCATCTACAAAAGCCCTGAGGATTCTAGCTCCGAGGACAGTGGGCAGCTGAGAATCCAGCAAGGAATTCCACTTAATCACCCAGTCACAGTGCAGATCAGAGTGTACATTGTTGCGGTAAGCCGTCTTTGTTTGCTCTGAGGGGGTGTATTGATCTGCTTAGGCTGCCATTACAAAATATGGCAGACTGGGAGGCTTAAACAACAGAAATTTACTTTCCCACGGTTCTGAATGCTGTAAGTCCATAATCAAGTTGCTACCAGGGTTGGTGTCTTGTAAGGCGTCTCATGCTGGCTTGCAGGTGGCTGCCTTCTTGCTGTGTCCTCACATGGCGTTTCCTCTGTGCACGTTTATATAGGGAGAGGTTGAGCTCTGATGTCTCATCCTCTACAAATAAAGACACTAGCCCTGTCTTATTAGAGCAGCACCACTACGACCTCATTTAACCTTAATTACCTCCCTAAAGCCATGTCTCCAACAGTAACCTTAGGAATTAGGGGTTAAACATATGAGGGTATGAAGTCAGACTGGCAACACAGACATTTTATGGCTTTTCTGAGCATAGTAGTATCTGTTCCCTGTGGTTGCCTATGGCAGGAGAGGGAACCAAACAGGAGGGAAGCAGGAAACTACAGGAAAGAGTTAGCAGGAAGGACCAAGGAAGAACAGGGCAGCTGTTACGTGAAATTCTCCTCCCACAGCCATGCCTCTGCACTATTGCAGTAGGAAACTTCACTTTGAATGCATTTCTAAGTAAGATGTTAATTCCTCTTAGCTTCCCTCTTTCTGATAATGAAAGCATAAAACTTTGATTATGAAACTTTTTGGCCTCATTAGCAGGAAGCTCATGGCCAAATCTAATCTCAATCAAAGCAACTACATGAACCCCAATGGCTTATGGATTTGTTTTAATCTCCTGACCTTGGATGCAGTTTTTGTAATTGTATTTTATTATAATGATCTTTTTTATCTCAACCCTTTGCTTCCATTGCCTACATTCTTTCAAGGAAATATAAATGTAACATAAAATAAAAATGAATTATTCTTTAGTGCTAAGGGAGAAATAAATGTTCTTCCATCACGAAGTTCTCGGGTTTCCTTCATCATCCTCTGTATCATCACCACAACCACATGTCCCAGGGATGTTGTGATGAAAAGAACATAGTCTCTGTGTTCAAGGAAGTGACAGTGTAGTTGGAAAGATGAGAACTTGTAGGGTCACTGACAATGTTGGGTAGTCAACATGAAACACCACCCTCAGGATGCTTTAGACAAACTCAAAATTTTGCTCAGGGGGTCACTGGTGTTTTGGGAGAAAAATGCATTCCTTAAGAAACAGAACATACATTCAAATAAATTTGAATAGTGCATATTTCCTTCTCCAACCTTTGAGATTCACAAAACTCATTAGCACATTCAAGTCTCTGAGAATTTCAGAAGGAAATGAAAAAAAAAAAAAAAAAAAAAAAAAAAAAAAAAAAAAAACACCCTATTTAGTGATCTTGAACAGCATTTTCTAAACTTTTGACTCATACCTTTCCCTTTCCTACAGAAAATCTTGCAGAACTAAAGTTCTCTAAGATCCAGTTTGGGGAATCCAGAAATAGTATCAACAGTAGAAAGGAGAGGAAAGAATTTATGTGAACTGTGAACTACAGAGGTTGGAGAAAGATGTCTCCTTATTCATGGATTCATTCAGAAAGTATCTACTGCACACCTTTTATGTGTTCAGTACCCTCTAGACAAAGACCGGAGAAACAGATCAGGTTTCTGTCCTGGAGGTAGCATGGGGGAGGGAGGCCTTGGGCTAGAACTCGAGAACAGGAGGGACTTGAACAAACAGGGAGTCAGAGGGTAGCAGTCCTAGATAAATTCACTACAGTTATGGACAGTCAATATATTTCTAGCAGTTTGATTATGTGTGGTTTGCTCTCATACTAATATTTAATTAATTAAAGTCTCAAGTCTAATTAAAAGAATACTAACAAGTAAAAAAAAAAAAACACTGCTTAAAACTTGCATAAGGAAAGAAATAAAATTTCCCCACCTCTTTTTTTTTTTCCTTAACAAGATAGATTGAACTTTTTTTTTTTTTAAGATTAGTATGTACAGGTCTTCACTCCTTTTAGTAGCTGTATAGCATTTTCTTGAATAAATGTAGTATTCATTCATTCATTCTACAAGTGTTAAGAAGACCCTGTCCTATGTCCTAAAGTAATGAACAAGATAAACAGTGCCCTTGCTCTCATGGAGATTACATACTAGTTGGGAGTGATGTGGGGATTACGCAGATATAAAAATAAGCAAAGGAACAGATAAATTAACAGGATTTGTGTCAGAGATAACAGTTTTGTAAAGAATTAAAAGTGGTTGATGTGAGAAGGAGAAATGTGAAAGACTGCTTTGTATTGTGTTTCTTCCCAAGTAATTAACAAATAGGTTGCTTACAATTTTTGACTCTTAAACAATGTTCTAGTAAACATCCTTGAATATACAGCTTTATAGGCTCACACTATTCTATCTACAGGATAGAATCCTAAATATGGAATTGTTTCTCAGCTTTCATTGCTGCAGAGTTTCTCCATCTTTTTTATACCATTTCTTTTTTTTTTTTTCAAATTTATTTAAGTTCTGGGGTACATGTGTAGAATGTACAGGTTTGTTACATAGGTATACACTTACCGTGGTGGTTTGCTGCATCCATCACCGTGTCATCTACATTAGGTATTTCTCCTAATGCTAACCCTCCCCAATCCCCCCACCCCCTGGTATCCTTCCCCTACCCCCCTACCCCAGACAGGCCCCAGTGTGTGATGTTCCCCTCCCTGTGTCCATGGGTTCTCATTGTTCAACTCCCACTTATGAGTGAGAACATGTGGTATTTGGTTTTCTGTCCTTGTGTCAGTTTGCTGAAAATGATGGTTTCCAGATTCATCCATATCCCTGCAAAGGACATGAACTCATCCTTTTTTATGGCCGCATAGTATTCCATGGTGTATATGTGCCACATTTTCTTTATCCAGTCTATTATTGATGGGCATTTGGGTTGGTACCAAGTCTTTGCTATTGTGAACAGTACTACAGTAAACATATGTGTGTATGTGTCTTTATAATAGAATGATTTATATCCTTTGGATATATACCTAGTAATGGGATTGCTGGGTCAAATGGTATTTCTGGTTCTAGATCATTGAGGAATCTCCACACTGTCTTCCACAATGGTTGAACTAATTTACACTCCCACCAACAGTGTAAAAGCATTCCTGTTCCTTCACATCCTCTCCAGCATCTGTTGTCTCCTGATTTTTTAAGGATTGCCATTCTAACTGGCATAGGTGGTATCTCAATGTGGTTTTGATTTGCATTTCTCTAATGACCAGTGATAATGAGCTTTTTTCATAAGTTTGTTGGCTGCATAAATGTCTTCTTTTGAAAAGTGTCTGTTCATATCCTTCACCCACTTTTTGATGGGGTTGTTTTTTTCTCGTAAATTTGTTTAAGTTCTTTGTAGATTCTGGATATTAGCCCTTTGTCAGATGGGCAGATCATAATTTTTTTCCCATTCTGTTGGTTGCCAGTTCACTCTAATGATAGCTGCTTTTGCTGTGCAGAAGTTAAGTTTAATTAGATCCCATATGTCTATTTTGGCTTTTGTTACCATTGCTTTTGGTGTTTTAGTCATGAAGTCCTTGCCCATGCCTATGTCCTGAATGGTATTGCCTAGGTTTTCTTCCAGGGTTTTTATGGTGTTAGGTCTTATGTTTAAATCTTTAATCAATCTGGAGTTAATTTTTGTGTAAGATGTAAGGAAGGAGTCCAGTTTCAGCTTTCTGCATGTGGCTAGCCAGTTTTCCCAACACCATTGATTAAATAGGGAATCCCTTCCCTATTGCTAGTTTTTGTCAGGTTTGTCAAAGATCAGATGGTTGTAGAACTGTTGCGTTCTGAGGCCTCTGTTCTTTCCATTGGTCTATATCTCTGTTTTGGGACCAGTACCATGCTGTTATGATTACTGTAGCCTTGTAGTATAGTTTGAAGCCAGGTAGTGTAATGCCTCCAGCTTTTTTTTTTTTTTTTTTTTTTTGCTTAGGATTGTCTTGGCTATGTGGGTTCTTTTTTGGTTCCATATGAATTTTAAGGTGGCTTTTTCCAATTCTGTGAAGAAAGTCAGTGGTAGCTTGATGAGGATAGCATTGAATCTATAAATTACTTTGGCAGTATGGCCATTTTCATGATATTGATTATTCCTAACCATGAGCATGAAATGATTTTCCATCTGTTTGTGTCCTCTCTTATTTCCTGGAGCAGCGGATTGTAGTTCTCCTTGAAGAGGTACTTCACATCACTTGTTAGTTGTATTCCTAGGTATTTTGTTCTCTTTGTGGCAATTGTGAATGGCAGTTCACTCATGATTTGGCTTTCTGTTTGTCTATTATTGGCATATAGGAATGCTTGTGATTTTTGCACATTGATTTTGTATCCTGAGAATTTATTGAAGTTGCTTATCAGCTTAAGGAGATTTTGGGCCAAGATGATGGTGTCTTCTAAATATACAATCATGTTGTCAGCAAACCGAGAAAATTTAACTTCCTCTTTACCTAATTGAATATCCTTTATTTCTTTTTCTTGCTTGATTGCCCTGGCCAGAGCTTCCAATTCAATGTTGAATAGGAGTGGTGAGAGAGGGCATCCTTGTCTTGTGCCAGATTTCAAAGGGCATGCTTCGTTTTTGCTCATTCAGTATGATATTGGCTGTAGGTTTGTCATAAATAGCTCTAATTATTTTGAGCTACGTTTCATTAATCTAGTTTATTGAGAGTTTTTGGCGTAAAGAGCTGTTGAATTTTGTTGAAGGCCTTCTCTGCATCTATTGAGATAATCGTGGTTTTTGTCTTTGGTTTTGTTTATGTGATGGATTACGTTTATAGATTTTTTATACCATTTCTTCCATCTTCCTACTCTGGCCTTTCCTTAGAAAGTATTTGCTTTTGATAGTTTAAGTCCTAGCTTGTCTGGCATCAGACTTTACTCTCAGAAACAGATCATCATTCAACTGGTCAGTGCCAAATGCAAGACTCATAGGGTCATGGATTCAGAAACCATTAGTTCTGGGAAGGGCCTTTAGGTCCACCCCATGATTTTATAGATAGATCTCAGAGAGACATGACTTGCGCAATATCACACACTACTTAGAAATGTAGTCAGGCCCACTGCGGTGGCTCATCCCTGTAATCCCAGCACTTTAGGAGGCCAAGGTGGGAAGAATGCTTGAGCTCAGGAGTTTGAGACCAACCTGGTCAATATGGTGAAACCCCATCTCTGATACAATATTAGTAGGGTGTGGTGGCTCACACCGGTAGTCCCAGCTACTTGGGAGGCTGAGGTGGGAGGATGACTTGAGCCTGGGAGGCATAAGTTGCAGTGAGCCAAGACCATGCCACTGCACTCCACCCTGGGCAACAGAGCAAGATGCTGTGAAAAGAAAAGAAAAGAGAAAGAGAAATAGAAATATAGTAATGTGTCTCTTAATGATGGGAATACATTGTGAGAAATGTGTCGTTAGGCTGTTTCAGTGCTGTGCAAGTGTCAGACTCTATTTACACAAACCTAGATGGTTTGGCCTCCAACACGATGGAACAGCCTATTGCACACCTAGGCTATAAACCTGTATAGCACATTACTGTAGAAACTACTATAGGCAATTGTAACACAATGGTATTTATGTATCTAAACATAGAAAAAGTACAGTAAAAACACAGTATAAAAGATTTGAAAAAATGGTACACCTGTCTAGGGCACTTACCACGAATGGAGCTTGCAGGGCTGGAAGGTGCCCTGGGTGAGTCACTGAGTGAGTGGTGAGTGAATGTGAAGGCTAGGATGTTACTGTCCACGACTGTAGAGTTTAGAAACACTGTATACTTAGGCTACACTAAATTTATAAAATATATTTTTCCTTATTCAATAATAAGTTAACTTTAGCTTTCTGTAACTTTATAAACTTAAGTTTTTCTAACTTTTGAGTCTGGTCAAAACAACGTTTAGCTTAAAACACAAACATATTGTTCAGCTATACAAAAATATGTTCTTTATATCCTTAGTAAGGTTTTTTGTATTTTTTAATTGTTTTCTTTTTGTTTTGTAAACTTTGTTAAAAACTAAGACACATATACACACACAAACACACACACACACACACACACACACACACACACACACACATTAGCCTAGGGCAAAACAGGATCAAGATCATCAGTATCACTGTCTTCTACCTCCACAGCTTGTCCCACTGGAAGGTCTTCAAGGGCAATAACATGCATGGAGCTGTCATCACCTATAATAACACCTTTTGCTGGATATCTTCTGAAGGACCTGCCTGAGGATGTTTTACAGTTAACTTTTTTTTTTTTATAAAGAGAAAAAGTATACTCTAAAATAATGATTAAAAAGTATAGTATAGTAAATACATACATTTATTATCATGTCAAGTATCATTTACTGCACATGACTGTATACTTTTACATGACTGTTAGCACAGTAGGTTTGTTTATAGCAGCAGCATCACAAACATGTGAGTAATGTGTTGCACTACAACGCTGCAACAGATATGATGTCACTAGATCATAGGAATTTTTCAGCTCCTTCATAATTTTATAGGACTGCCATCATACATGTTGTCAGTCCTTGACCAAGACATCATTAAGAGGTGCATTACTGTAGAACTGGAACTCAAACTCATGGCTTCTGCTTCCTGGTCCAGTGTTTTTCTCATTTTTCTGTGCCAAGAGCTTCTTTTCACTGAGGGGATGACTCCAGAGAAAGCTGATCTTGGACAGAGCCAATAATTTTTCTTTTAACAGCAAAATGTGGATGCTAAAGCAGTGTTCTTAAACTTGGCTGCACACTAGAATTATCTATGGAGTTTTTCAAAAGCCCAAAGCCCTGGCCCATTAACTCAGACTATCTAGAGACAGAAATCAGGTATTAGCATTTTTGAAAGCACCCAGGTAATCCAAGTGTACAACCAATATTGAGAGCCACTGAACCAAAGACATTTTCTTTTTCCTTTCCAGGCATTTAATCTTAGCCCAGCTGATCCAGATGGCAAATCAGATCCCTACATTGTGATCAAGCTTGGCAAAACAGAAATCAAAGACCGGGATAAATACATCCCCAAACAACTGAACCCAGTATTTGGAAGGTCAGTGGCCATCTGGGCTGTGTTTTATTATCCTTTCTGCATTTGTTCCTGCTGTGTTTCTGTGGGGATAGGGTATGTATGTGTGTGTTCCTGGGTGAAATGGTGGCAGGAAGTTAAACACTGGCTTTTGCTCTTGGTAATAACCAACCAAACCTATGTTCATGGAGCAGGGTTGAATTCTTCCATGGTTCCCTGAGGAATTAGGTGGTACTTGATCATTATACCCATAGCTTTCTTTATTATAATTTTTTTCTTTTTCTTTTGCATGTGTGTGTGTGTGTGCGTGTGCGTGTGTATGTGTGTGAACTTTAGTAGAGAAATACCCACAGCTCTCTAATGACCATTTTCTAGATTTTAGATTTAATGGACATCTTGCAGGGTCATTGGATTCAGCCTAGTGCTTTTGAACAGAGCAGAGATTTCCTTTTTATAAACAAGGCAGCAAAGGGCTAGAAAGATTAAGAAACATGTTCAAGTTCAGATGACTCACAATTGGAGGATAACGGGACACAAATCTGGTCTTTTGTCTCCTACTAAAGGGATTTTTCCATCATATCATTTTGTGGTTCATTTGAGGTGACCCCTAAGGTCAAAAAGTTGAAGTTGTCCTCAAGTTGTGCTTTGTTTTCCTGAAAAGTGCTAAAAGCTATTGCATTTGTGTAAGTGGACTAGGCATTCACCAGCTCACAGCAGCACTGCAATGCTATTGATCCTATAATAGGGTGTGCTTCACATTGGTGTTCCCTGTTCAAGTTTGTGCACGTCTGTCACTGTCTCTGGAACCAAGGTGACCTGGGTATCACTCTGCCACATACAAGCTCTACAACCTTATGCAGATAGCTTAACCTGTCTGTTCCTAGTTTTCCTGACCGGTAAAGCAGCAACAGTGACACCTGACTCTCAGATTCCTTTAGAAGATTAAATGTGTAAAGCACCTACATGTCACATTGCCTATGCCAGCACACAGTTGACATACAAAACACATCAGCTCCCTTCCTCTCCACCTTGGTAATTGTAGCAATGGATACATCTTTAGTGTGTTTAATTTCTTTTTTCTTGAGTAAGCAGGAGTGTGGAATAGAATCTCCATCGGCCCCATTTAAATTAATTTACACATCCTTGATCACTTTGGAGCCTCTGACATTTGAACAGCACTAGCCTCTTACATTTTATTGCTCCTGAGAAAATAAGGGCTATAAATGATCTTGCCTGTCCAGATTAATGAGAATGACAGTGCTGGGGAAGCTTACCCTTGCCTCCCTCATCCAGAGATGACCTTCATTGTCATCTACCATTTATGTAACTAGTGCTTCAGTGTGACAAGCACTTGGCAGGCACTTTTTATTAGCTACTTTCACCACAGTGCCATGAACTAGACTTGTTTTACAACCCATGTTATATGGCCATGGCAAACAAGAGAAGATGATGATGAAAAAAATGTTCTCTCCTGCCTCTGGCATTGCAGCACCTCATCCAAAAGCTCTCCAGATGTGGATGTTTTGCTGGAGATGTATTTAATTTTTACTCAGGAACAAAAGTTGCCAGCACAATCCCACAGTGTTCCAGCAAGAAGAGCAGAGGATTCTTGTGCCTGACCTGGGGTCTGGGGAATCCCTCATGACTTCAGTGCCCTAGTATCCCTGTGAAGGTGTGCCCTGGTATCTTGCATTGCTTTACTTTTCTTCGTAGCCTCTGACATGGATTAGATGTTTATGGATTTATTGGCCATCTCCCATCTCCCCACTAGAATGTAAGAAGTATTTGAGCAGGGAGTTAGTCTAGTCTGGTTAATGCCACATCTCCAGCACCTAGAACAGGGCCTGGCACACAGCAGGTGCTCAGTATGTATCTGTGGAATGAACAGATGGATGGATGGGTAGGTGAGTGGATGGGTAGATGGACAAAATGCCAGTCAGTTGTCCATGGGATTTAATAGGGCCCTATCTCCACATCAACTTGTGGTGCATGTCTATAGGCTTTGACAGTTTCTTCCTTATGGCTCTTATGGTTTCCCAGAATGCTTCCCATTGTCTCCACTACCTTGATAATTAACCATAAAGCAAAATGATGAGATCATAAGGAACTGATCAATGGGTTAATAAAACAGCTCTCTATCTCTTCTTCCTCATTCACATCTACAGGCAGTTGTCCTTGCTGTGCCCTCCCCATGAGATGCCTTTCCTTTTCTTGTCCACCTGCAGAACTTCCTCCCTTCCTCACAATTACTGGGAATCCACTATGTGTCAGGCACACTGCTAAGTGCTGGGACACAATGGGGACCAAGCCACAGTCTATACCTGCAAGGTGCCCATGAATATTGAGAGAACATCAAATAAATGCATGATTACAATAGGCTGCTGCAAGTCCTGTGAAGACACTGGGAAGGCATCAGACCGTCTTGGGAGTGTGAAGGGGGTGGGAAGGGATGGGTGTTCTTTGCCGTGCAAAGTCTGGAGTATAGGGAGGACGTGATGTGGCAGGAACTGTTACCAGTCAGGGTTCTACCATGGGAAGGGACCTAGAGGAAAGAGAGATAATTTCCCAGGGCTTCCTTAACAAAGTATCATAAACTGTGTAACTGAAACAACAGAAATGCATTCTCTCACAGTTCTAGATACTGAAAGTGGGGTGGTGTCTGGGCTGCTTCCTTCAGTGGGCTGTGAAGGAGCCTCTGTTCCCTGCCTCCCTCTCGAATGCTGGTGATCTGCTGGCAATCCCTGGTGCTCCCTGGCTGGTAGATGCATTGCTCCAATATCAGCCTTCATCTCCACATGGCCTGCTCCCTGCACCTCTCCACATCATCTTCCCCCTGTGCATATCTGCGTCTGTGTCAAGTTTTCCTCTTTACAAGGACACCAGTCATACTGCATTGGGGCCCATCCCAATGACCTCATTTTAGCTTGAATACCTCTATTAAGACTCCACTTCCAAATAAGGTCAGATTCTGAGGCGCTGGGGCTGGAGCTTCCACTTATCTTTTGGTGGAGACACAGTTTGACTCATAGTAATATATACTGCTTTTGCCCTTTATTATGAGACTGTTGTTTTTGCTCTTAAGAGTTTTCAACTGGTTAGATGAGGCCTACTTAAATTATCAAGGAGAAACTTCTTCACCTAAAGTCAATTAATTGTGGATGTTAATTACATCTTTAATTACATCTACAAAATGCCACCATAGCAACACCTGGATTAGTGTTTGATCAAATAACTGGAGACTATAGTCAGGTAGACACATGACACTGACCATCACTCTGTGAGTAGATTGCAAGTGTTTTTTTCTTTCCAATCAGGTGGTCATTTTGATGATAGACTATGTGCCAGCTACTAGGGAGGTATAAAGGGTACATGACCCTATTTCCGTGGAACCTATGCGCTTATGAAGGAACCAGGCATTACAAAAAACTCATAAAATTGCCTGTCTGATGAATGCTATAAGGGAAAGGTGCAGGGGCCTTTGAGTCTGTATAATCGGGGAGCTTTACCTGGTTGGGAAAATGGCTAAGATGAGAAGTTCTGAAGATCTGGAGCAGGGAGAACTCCCATCTGCACTCAAGGCTCAGCTGAAGAGTCATCTCTGTGAAACCATCCATAGTCACCCCTCCCCAACAGGTGTATTAGTAACACCCTGCCCATAACTCTGTTGGAGCTCCTGCCATCTTAGTTAGCCATATTCTTATCTGCCTTTCCACTGGAAAGAAATTGTACTTATCTCGTAAAAACCACCGTGCCTGGCACGTGGTAGATACACAATACATGCTGAATGAATGAATGAATGAATGACCAAATGAACAATGGAACATCTTTGCTCTGAAGCTCAGATGCTCTTCATGCTTTCACCAAGTCTGTTTTTGCCCATTTCATGATGCATTCTATTTTCCCAAACCGCCTCATTGACACACAAGTTGGTATAAGGCTAGTTTTTCCCTGGGTGACTGGAAGTTCAACCATAGTGGGCTGTTTTGGTGACTTTTACTAACAGCTCCAGTTAAAATTCAGGTAAGATCAATCTGTGGGCCCACAGCTTGGGGAGATGAACCAGGGCTATTAAGTCTTCTGTCATGGTTGCCAGCAGCAGTTAATCCCTTAATAAGTCCTTCCAGTGACAGTAATGGTGATAGTTCAGGGGCAGATGGCTGGGGGTTTCCTTGTGATGCACTTGCAGAATATCAATTACAGTTTAAAATGTAAGTCTTGGAGCTCAGGCAGGCAATGCTATGCCTTCAGAGAGAAGACATATGGATTTCTTTTCCACACCATATCCCTGGCCTGCTAGAGCCACTTCTGTCAGTTACAATCGCTGGAGCTGTCCAGCGTGTCTGCTTTTTTCTCTCTGAGGAGGGTTAATTGGCTTGGGCTTGCTGCAGTTGCTGTGCCTGCTTCACTGAAGAATGAGTGCCAGGGCTAAGTGGATCTGACCATGAGGGCAGCAGCCCCGACAGCCCCATGGACATGCAGGGAAATAATGAGCTCGCATTCTCTCTCCTCCCCTCCTCTTTGTCCATCACTCCCAGCCCAGCCCATCTTATACCAGAGCAGACAATCTAGACACCTGAAGAACATTGCTGTGTCCTTGATTTTGTTTTCAGGAAGGCATTTCCCTACAATGTAGAATTTTACTTCATATTTAATTTTCAAGTACCCATCCCAACGTAGGAAATCAGTAGCATGGATAATTAATCACCGGAAATCTGACAGCATTAATGCTCCTTGAGACATCTGGCGTTGGTGTGGTTTCGTGGAAGGAGCACCTACCTAGCTAGGAGTTAGCAACCTGGTACATGTCTCAGATTGGCCTGATTGATGATCCTGGGAAAGTTGCTTGTGTCTTCTAGATTTCAATTTCCTTATCTGTAAAATGAAGGGACTGGATATGGTGATTTCTGAGATCTCTTACAGTTCACAGGAAAGATTTATTTTGTGTGTACTTCTGCAGGTCAAGCGCAGGCTCCAGCAATGCAGAGACCAAAAAAACAAAAATAGGTCCCTGTTCTCAAGGGGCTCATAGTCTTGTAGAGACAGCACTTCAGTCTTCCAATTCTATATCTTTATAATTTTTCATCCTTGATGAGATTTTCATTTAAAATAAATGTAGTTAGCATTTATTGATAAGGCAACAATGGAGGGGAAGGGGAATGGCAATGGATTTGGCACCAGTTGAATGCGTGAAAGTAAAACGTGTTTTACAGAAACAATATTGCATGTAAACACCATGCTAAATTATAAAGAAGACATATATACTCATTTACAATAGAGAGGCTAAGAGGTATTAAATAACTTAAAGATTTACAATCAGGAAGTTGCAGATTCAAAACCAAAATTAAAAATCAGTCCTGTTTGAAGCCAAAATCCAAAGTTTTCCTCTCCATCATGCTGTCACCCTAGTTGAAGACTACAAGATGTGGCCCATGAAAGGGGAGATTATTGGCTGTTTGAAATTGATAACAGCATTGAAAATTGATTGTACTGCAATGAGAAATTAAACCAAACAAATATCTGCTAAGTATTAACTGAGTTGCTGAGTGTTTGGTGAGTTCACATGAACAGTGGGCTAACTAAAAGTGAAGCTGGGAACAGTTCCAAGTGTCACCAAATGTTACTGACTCTTGAAGTCTCTGCTTGGACCACAGGTCATTTGAAATCCAAGCCACGTTCCCGAAAGAATCCCTGCTCTCCATCCTGATCTACGATCACGACATGATTGGGACAGATGACCTTATTGGTGAGACCAAGATCGACCTGGAGAACCGCTTCTACAGCAAACACAGAGCCATCTGTGGCTTGCAGAGCCAGTATGAGATGTAAGTTCTTTCTCTCTGGGAAATACTTGGTATTCTGAGGCTGTTGTAGTCTTCAGAGCTCTGGATTCTGCATCTCATGTCCATCTCTAGGAAGGCCAGACCCGGCTCAGCTTTAATGTCTCAAATGGGCTCCACATCAGCATAGCTGACTTGGGAGACTCTGTTCAGTGCATTTAGAAGTTGTTGTGGCTAGGGAGGCAGCTCTGATTTAGAAACAAAGGCAGGTTCTTCAAGAGACAAGATCTAAAAGTATATGTTCACTCAGATGTATCTTGAAATAGGGTTCCCTGGTGGAGGATAATGCTAGAATAAGAATTAGTTATAATATAAATGCCAGTATCCAAGCTAATTATAACTAAGTCATGTGCTTTTGATAACAGAGCACTTTACATGGAGTATCTCATTCAGTTTTCTGAACCACTCTTTGAGGTGTTATCCACATTTTACAAAAGAAGAACCGACCCAACTTTCACTCTTTTTTCATAGGTATTTTTAATTTTTGTGGGTACATAGCAGATGTATACATATATATGGAGTATATGACATTTTGATATACACATACAATGCATAATAATCACATCAAGGTAAATGGGATATCCATCACTTCAAATATTTATCCTTTCTTCATATTACAAACAAACCAGTTATACCCTTTTAGTTATTTCAAAATAGACAATAAATTATTGACCATAGTGACCCTGTTATGCTATCAGATACTATATCTTATTCTATCTAATTATATTTTTTTACTCATTAACCATCATCCACTCTCTAGCTCCATGAGTTCAAGTTTAAGTGAGAACATGCAAAGCTTGTCTTTCTGTGCCTGGTTTATTTTACTTGACCTAATGTCTTTAATTCATTTTGATTTTATTTTTGTATATGGCAAGACATAGGGATCTACTTTCATTCTTCCACATATGGATATCCAGTTTTTCCAGCACCGTTTATTGAAAGGCCTGTCCTTTCTCCAATATATCTTTTTGGCAGCTTTATTGAAAATAAGTTCACTGTAGATGAACAGATTTATTTCTAGGTTCTCAATTCTGTTCCATTGATTCGTGTGTCTGTTGTTATGCCAGTACCATGCTGTTGCGGTTACTATAGCTCTGTAGCATAATTTGAAGCCAGGTAATGTGATTCCTCCAGTTTTGTTCTTTTTGCTTAGAATAGCTTTGAATATTTTGTGTCTTTTGTGGTCCCATGTAAATTTTAGGATTGCTTTTTTCTATTTCTATGAAGAATGTCATTGGTACTTTGATACAGATTTCACTGAATTTGCAGATTGCTTTGGGTAGTATGGACATTTTAACAACACTGATTCTTCTAATTCATGAACATGGAATATGTCTCTGGTTTTTTGTGTCCTCTTCAATTTTTTGCACCAAGGTTTTATAGTTATCATTGTAGAGATATCTTATCTCTTGAAGTTTACTCCTAGGTATTTTGTTTGTAGCTGCTGTAAGTGGGGTTACTTTCTTGATTTTTTTTTTCACATTGTTCACTGTAGGCACATAGAAATGCTACTGATTTTTATACCTCGATTTGGTATCCTGCACCTTTACTAAATTTGTTTATCAGTTCTAATGATTTTCTTGTGGAATCTTTAGGTTTTCTTCAAATATAAAATCATATTATCTATATACAAGGATAACTTCTTCCTTTCAAATTTGGATGCCCTTTCTTTCTTTTTCTAATCTGATTGCTCTAGCTAGGACTTCCAGTTCTATGTTGAATAACAGTGTTGAAAGTGGGCATCCTTGTTTTGTTTCAGATCTTAGAGGAAAGGCTTTCAGTTTTCCTCATTCAGTATGATCCTAGCTGTGGGTCAGTTGTGTATGTTTTTTATTGTGTTGAGGCATGTTCTTTCTATGCTCAGTTTTTTGAGGATTGCTTACATTATGAAGGGATGTTGAATTTCATCAAATGTTTTTAAGTGTTGAGGTATGTTCTTTGAATTTCATCAAATAATTTTTATTGTGTTAAGGTATGTTCTTTCTATACTCAGTTTTTTGAGGGTTTCTTAAATTATGAAGGGATATTGAATTTCATCAAATGCTTTTTAAAATGATCATATGGTTTCCTTCATTCTGTTGATATGCTGTATCACACTGATTGTGCATGTTGAATGATCATTGCATTCCTGGAATAAATTCCACTTGGCCATGATGAATGATCATTTTAACATCTTGTTGAATTTGGTTTGTGAGTATTTTGTTGAAAATTTTTCTTGAACATTTTTGCATCCATGTTCATCAGGGATATTGGCCGATAGTTTTCATTTTGTGATGTGTCTTTGACTGGTTTTTGTTTCAGGATAATACTGGCCTTGTAAAATGACTTTGGAAGTATTTTCTTTTTCTGTTTTTTAGATTGGTATTTGTTCTTCTTTAAATGTTTGTTAAAATTCAGCAGTGAATCATCGGATCCTGGGCTTTTCTTTGCTAGGAGACTTTTTATTATAGCTTCTATTTCATTACTTGTTATTGGTCTATTCAGGTTTTAAATTTCTTCATGGTTCAATCTTGGTAGGTTGTATGCTTCTAGGAATTCATTCATTTCTTCTAGGTTTTTCAATTTATTTCTAACTTCATTAGCAGCTTCTAATGGTCATTTAAATTACTGGAGTATTAAATTTCTGCAGTAATATCTCCTTTTTCATCTGTAATTTTATTTATTTAGGAGTTCTCCTATTTTTCTCAGCCTGGCTAATGAGTTGTCACTTTTCAAAAAACCAGCTTTTCATTTTGTTAATCTTTTTTATTTTTTCATTTCAATTTCATTTATTTCTGCATTGATCTTTATTATCTCTTTTTTTCTACTAATTTTGAATTTGGTTTGTTCTTGATTTTCTAATTCATTAAGATGTATTGTTACATTATGTATTTGAAGTTTTTCTACTCTTTTGATGTGGGTGCTTGTTGCTATAATCTTTCTTCCTAGTGCTGCTTTCATTGTGTTCCATAGGTGTTGGTATGTTTCTATTTTCATTTGTTTCAAGAAATTTTTAAATTTTTTGCTTAATTTCTTCATTGTCCCATTGGCCATTCAGGAGCATATTGTTTAATTTCCATATGTTTGTATAGTTTCCAAATTCTCTTGTTATTGATTTTGAGTTTTATTCCATTGTGGTCAGAGAATATACTTGATATAATTTCAATTAAAAATTTTTTTAAAGACTTGGCCTAACATATGGTCTATCCTTGAGAATGTCCCATGTGCTAATGAGAAGAATATGTATTCTGCAGTTGTTGGTTGAAATGTTCTATAAACATCTATTAGGTCCATTTGATCTATAGGGCCAATTCGTTCCAATATTTCTTGGTTGGTGTCCTGTCTGGATGACCTGTCCAATGCTGAAAGTTGGGTGTTGAAATCTCCAGCTATTATTGTATTGGGGTCTATCTCTTTAGCTCTAACAATATCTGCTTTCTATATCTGGGTGTATCATGATATCATGTAATATCATGCAACTATTATATCCTGTTGCTGAATTGACCCCTTTATCATTATATAATGACCTTCTTTTTCTCTTTTTATAGTTCTTGTCCTGAAATCTGTTATCTTATAATAAGTATACCTACTCCTGGTTTTTTTTTTTTTTTATTCCATTTGCATGTTATATTTTTTCTGATTCTTTATTTTTTAATCTATGTGTATCTTTATAGGTAAAGTATGTTTCTTGCAGGCAACCGGTTATTGGGTCTTGTGTTTTTATACATTCAGTCACTCTATGTCTTTCAGTTGGAGAGGTTAGCCCATTTACATTCAATGTTATTATTGATAAGTAAGGACTTACTATTTCCATTTTAAAATTTGTTTTTTGATTGTTTTGCTGTCTACTCTTCCTTCTTGTCTTCCTTTTAGTGAAGGTGATTTTCTCTGGTGGTATGTTTTAATGTCTTGCATATCTGTTGTGTTTTATTTGATGTTACCATGAGCCTTGAAAATAATATAACCCATTATTTTAAGCTGATAACGGCACTAACTGCATAAACAAAATAACAAGCAAAAATAATACTGATGAAAACTCTGTTTTAACTTCATCTCTCTGCTTTTTAACTTTTTGTTGTTTCTACTTATTTTACTGTCTATGTCTTGAAAGGTTGTTGGAGTTATCATTTTTGGTTGGTTACTAATACACCCCAGTAACAGTGTTATAACATTCTGTGTTTTTCTATGGACTTACTATTACCAGTGAGCTTCCCACCTACATATAGTTTCTTATTGCTCACTAACATTCTTTTCTTCCAGATCAAAAAACTCCTTTTAGCATTTCTTATAGGACAGGTCTGGTGTTGATGAAACCCCTCAGAGTTTGTCTGGGAAAGTCTTTATTTCTCATTCATATTGAAAGAATATTTTCCCTAGTTATACTATTCTAGGATAAAAGGTTTTTTCCTTCAGCACTTTAAATGTCATGCTACTCTCTCCTGGCATTTCCACTGGCAGCAGACTTCTCCTGGTTTCCACTGAGACATACCGGGTCTCCTTTTTATGTTATTTATTTTGTTTTGCTGCTTTTGGGATCCTTAATTTATTGTGGACCTTTGGGAATTTGATTATTAAATGTTTTGTAGTCTTATTTGGATTAAATCTGCTAGGTGTTCTATAACCTTCTTGTACTTGAATATTGATATCTTTCTCTTGGTTTGCGAAGTCCTCTGTTATTATCCCTTTGAATAAACTTTCTACTCTGATCTCTCTCTCTGCCTCCTCTTTAAGGTCCGTAACTCTTAGACTTGCCCCCTTTGAGCCTTTTTTCTAGATATTGCAGGCATGCTTCATTCTTTTCCATTCTTTTTTTTTTGTTTCCTGACTATTTTCAAATAGCCTGTCTTGAGGCTCACTAATTCTTCTGCTTGATTAATTCTGCTGTTAAGAGACTCTGATGTATTCTTCAGATATATCTATTGCATTTTTCAGCTCTGGAACTTGATTTCTTTTAATCACTTCAATCTCTTTGCTAAATTTATCCCAGAGGATTCCGAATTCCTTCTTTGTGTTATCTTGAGTTCTGTTGAGCTTCCTTAATGCAACTATTTTGAATTCTCTGTCTGAAAAGAAATATATCCCTGTCTCTCCAGGATTGGTCACTGGTACCTTATTTAGTTATTTTGGTGAGATCATGTTATCCTGGATAGCCCTGATGCTTGTGGATGTTTGTAAGTCTGGGCATTGAAGAGTTAGGTATTTATTGTAGTCTTCACAGTCTGGTCTTGTTTGTACCCATCCTTTTTGGAAAGGCTTTCCAAATATTGAAGGGACTTGGGTATTATAATCTAAATATTTGGTCACTGCAGCCATACCTGCATTAGGGAACACTCTAGGCACAGTAACACTGTGGCTCCTGCAGGCTTACGGAGATACTGCCTGGGTAGTCTTAGGTAAGATCCAGGAGAATTCCCTGGATTACCAGGCAGAGACTCTTGTTCTCCTCTCTTTTCCCCAAACAAATGGGGTTTATCTTTCTGTGCTTAGCTGCCTGGAGCTGGGGGAGGGGTGACACACACACACATGTGGCTAATAAAGCACTGGGTGTTGCCAAGGCCTGCAGTGACTCCTGCCTGGCTATCACCTATGTTCACTCAATGCCCATGGGCTCTTCAGTCAATGAGTGGCAAATCCAGCCAGGCTTCTGTTCTTCCTCTCAAGCCCCCAGCCCCAGATGGGTCTGGAGATGCCCTTGGGAGCCAAGGGCTGGAGTTAGGAACCTTAGGAATCTACCTGCTGCTCTACTCTACTGTGATTGAACTGGCACCCAAGCCACAGGATAAAGTCCTTCCCATTATTCCTTCCCCTTTCCTCAGGCAGAGGGGTCCCTCCCCATGGCCACCACGGCCCCAGGTCCATGGGGAGTACTGCCTGGCTAACTTCCCTGTTCACTTGTGGTGAATGTTGCCTGGCCTGTGGGCTGCCCTCTGGCTTAGTTTAGGCCCAAAATTGCCATCTGGAGCCAAGGCTTAGAATCAGAGTCCCCAGAAGCCCACTTGGTTCTCTACCCCACTGTGACTGGGCTGCTGTCCAAGCTGCAAGAAAAAGTCTCCTTTGCTCTTCCCTGTCCTTCCCTCAAGAAGAAGGAATCTCTCTCCATAGCTACTACAGCTGAAAATGTGCTGGGTCACACCTGAAGCCAGCACTGCTCTGAATTTCACCCAAGGCAAGTTCTGCCTGGCTATCACTGCTGATTATTCAAAGTCCAAGGGCCCTTTAGTCAGCAAGAAATAAATCCTGCTTGGACTAGCTTCTTCCCCCTCAAGGAAGCAGGTTCCCTTCTGGCCAGAGGTATGTCTAGAAATGTCTGGGAGCTGGGGCTTGGAATGGAGGCCTCAAGACTCTGCCTTGTGCTGTGTTTTACTGTACCTGAGCTGGTATTCAAGGTGCAAGACAAAGTCTTCTTTACTCTCTCCCTCCTCAAGCAGAAGGAAGGAGTCTCTCCTGGGCCTGTGAGCTGTGCTTCTGGGATTGGGGGAGAGGTGGTGTGAGTGCTCCCTTGGCCTCCCCAGCTGGTATCTCACTAGATCATGTGTACCCCAGGTCTACTGGCTCTGAGCTCAGCATAGCAGTGGGACTTGCACAGGAATTTCAGTCCCAGTGGCCTGGACTGTCTTTCATGTTTATTTAGGACCCCAGAGTACTTTAGCCCACAGTGGCAGAGCTTGCTGGAACTCAACTTAGGTTCCAACAGCTGGGATGGACACTTTGCCTATAGCGAGGGCTGGTCCAAATGCTCCTTTCACGGGCACCAGCTGAGTTCTGTCTGGTGTGTGTTTCTGCTGCGATACTATAGCACTGAGTTCCAATCCGAAGTCCTACAATTATTGTGTTCTTTCTTCCCTAAGTGCACAGATCCTTGCTCCATGCCACTGCCACAGAATGAGGGAGGAGTGGTACAGGCAATTCAAGACTGTCTTTCTTATCCTCTTTAGTGCCTCTTTCCTTAATGTCAAGTTAAAACCAGGTACTGTGATTGCTTACCTTATCTTGTGTGTGTAGTTGTTCAGTTTAGTGTTCTTCTGTCTCCCTCCCCAACTCCTTTTACAAATATTTTAAATGCTGTTTAATTTTAAAATATAGACTACCAGCTGTATTTTTTAAAAAGCATGTTGTATCTTATAGCTTAAGGAAAAAAAATTAATTAGAGTATGGTGTATTGTAGAAATTAGAAAATACAGAAAGTACAAAATGATTCTCAGATTATTTCACTCATGTAAAAATTCTTGGCATAGTAGCTCATTTTCAGTATGTTCCTGCTATTTCCCCCCAACTGGACTCTTATTATCCATGCAGTTTTGTAACCTGCTTGTTGTACTTAGCCTATTATCATCCCAAGTATGTGTGTCATTAGACGTTCTTTATAATCATTATTTCAATATATCTGTAGCATTCAATCATGGTAAAACCAATTTGCCTTCCTGTATTTTTCTTCTTTATTCTGTTACAAATCTTGTTGCTATGAATATTCTCAAACAAAAGCCACTGCACACCTCTCTGATAATTCACTTAATATTTATGCACCAAGGTGGACTACTCCATTAACAGAGATGCACATGTTGGGACTTCTAATACATATGCCCCAGTGGCCTCCAGAGGGTTGTGCCAATTTATACTCTGAGCACCTATCTCCTTCATGGCATGATTTCATACAGTCTCTTTTTCTGGCCTGTTCTTCCCTGAGCCTAGAGAGCCAGTTCGGTTATCAGTCCCTAGTGGAGCCATATGCCTCTTAGAGTTATTTTCATAGCTTTCTGTGTGCCTGAGAGAATTCCATTCAGACAGTGATTAGCTGTTCTCACTCTGAAATTGGGGAAGGAAACCACAGGCTAATGTGGCGCTTATTTTGTTCAGAAGAATTTCCTGGCTGACCTACTAGGGAGTAGTATAGTTGTCTGGGGACTTGCAACCTTTTATTCAGCAAATAAAAAATATATTCACTGAAAATTTTTTAAAACAAGACAAGCATGCCTGTTTCTGGGAAGGCCTGTATGTGGCTCTGGGACTGGCTTGGATGATCTTTTCAGAATTCTCAGGTACCTGGCATAATGTGGAAAAACTACTTGATAGCTCTGCTTCATAAGTTATGTTGATTTGTTTAAATGCTTAAACAAGTTAAATTCTCATGGACCCTGTGTCCCAATGAGCAGAGACATCAAACTTATCTTGGTCCTGGCTCTGAGGGAGTGCTGCATTACAAGTTAATAATTTTAACGAAACAGCTAGTTTTTAAGGAAAGAATGGGTTGGTAAGATTTAAAAACTTGTCACCAGGAAAATCACCAGTTAGAGAAACAATACATCAAGACTATCTGTGGCATGAATATATACTATGATTTTGGCAGGGTGTGGGCTAGGGAGAAGGGAGGGAAGAAGCAGAGACAATGAAAGGATGACCTAGGCTTTCCTCTTGGAATAAGCAGCAGCCAAGTGGCTGTTCTGCGAGGGACTTAATAAAACTAAACAAATATAACCTGCAAAGAAATGCATAAAGACAGAATGCAGATTGGTGATTGCCAAAGCCTCTGGGGAGTGGGAAAGAGGAGTAACTGTTTTCTGGTGCTTTGTTTTGGGATGATGAAACTTTTTGGAACTAGATAGAGGTGATGGTTGCACCTCCTTGTGAATATCCTAAGTGCTACTATATTGATCAACTTTTAAATGGTTAACTTTGTTATGTGACTTTCACTTCGATTTTTTATAAATGAAAAGTACATTACTAAAACAAAACAAAACAAATAAAAACTACCTTCAAAGGATTTTTCTGTCAAGCTACTCAGAAGTCTCACCTCTCAGGCAACCTGTGTTTGGCCAGAAAAGAGAGAAAACAAAGCCCCTAGCCGCAGGTATATAGAATAGCAAGTTAAAGCTGAAGGAAACTGCACAGATCATATTGGGTGGTTCTTTTAGTGGGGGCTTCAAAGTGTGTCCTCCCTCCACTTTTCAGAGAAGGATACAATGCCTGGAGAGACACATCCAAACCCACTGAGATCCTCACCAAGCTCTGCAAAGACAACAAGCTGGATGGACCCTACTTTCGCCCTGGAAAAATACAGATAGGAAAACAAGTCTTTTCGGGAAAAACTGTCTTCACTGAAGAGGACACTGGTAACTCCCTGCAAAATGTCCTGCTGGTGTTCCTCTTCTTTTGAAAATCCTGAGTCTAGTGATATTTTGGGGTATGGGACTGTGGGACATCTAATTATAAAAGCAATGTGGCTGGGAACGATGCCTCACGTGTGTAATCCTAGAACTTTGGGAGGCTGAGGCGGGTGGATCACTTTAGGTCAGGAGTTCGAGAACAGCCTGTCTAACATGGTGAAACCCTCTCTGTACTAAAAATACAAACATCAGCTATGTGTGCTGGTGGGTGCCTGTAATCCCAGCTACTCAGGAGGCTGAGCCACAAGAATCACTCGAACCAGGAGGTGGAGGTTGCAGTGAGCAGAGATTGTACCACTGCACTCCAGCCTGGACAACACAGTGAGATTCAGCCTCAAGAAAAAGAGTAATGCATGCTCACAGTGGAAAATGTGGAAAAGCAAAGAGAATAATGAACATCCCTCTTAATCCCCAAGTCCAGATACAACCATGCTGCTTCCTGGCATATTTTCTAACACTTGTCTGTGTGTAAGAATATATCAAATTTTTACAGAATTATGCATATAGTGTTGTGCCCAGCTTTTAAAATTTTCCACAGATTATAATGATTCTCCTTTGTTCTTTGAAATGATCAGTGATGATATGCCTTTTTATGGCTATACCATTTATTTACATTTTTTTTAGTGACAATGAGATAATGAACTTCCTTATGCATATTTTTGTGTGTTTCCGATATTTCTGTAGTATAGGTCACAGAAGTAGAATTGTTGTGTCAGAAGGTGGGCAATAGCCTTGAGGTGAATATTATGTAGCATAAATAATTCCACACTACCCAAATTACCCCCATAAATGTTATACCAATAACTATCCTATTTTAACACCAAGTAGTAGATTTTCCACATGAGCATCATGGGACATAACACAAAGATCCCAGAGAGCTTCCATAAATTTAGAGTGAGGGAAAAAAATCACATTTACTTTAATGATATGGCGCAGTTCTCATACTGTCACACTATATTAGTTTGTTCTTGCATTGCTATGAAGAAATGCCTGAGACTGTGTAATTTCTAAAGAAAAGAGGTTTAATTGGCTCACGGTTCTGCAGGCTCTATAGGAAGCATGGCAGCATCTGCCTGGCTTCTGCAGAGGCCTCAGAAAACCTGCAATCATGACGGAAGGCAAACACAAAGCCAGCACAACACTCACATGGCCACAGCGGGAAGAAGAGGGAAAGTGGGGAAGTGCTACACGTTTTTAAACAATCAGATCTTGTGGGAACTCTATCATGAGAACAGCACTAGGGGGATTGTGCTAAACCATTCATGAGAAACTGCCCCCATGATCCAGTCACCTTCCCAGCAGCCCCTACCTCCAACACTGAGGATTACAGTTCAACATGAGATTCGGGCAGAGACACAGAGCCAAACCACATCACTCACCCATGCATTTGATGCTTTAAAGTGTCCCTTTGAACACTTTAAAGTTCAGTGCTTTTGATGCAACGAGCCCAATAAAAGGCCTGGGTCATTGCATCAAAAGTACTAACCAGACATAGGATGGTTTGATACTATGTTGACCCTACCGCTTTGATACCAAGATTTCCTTTTACCTTGTTATTTCAAGCCCAGAAACCCATTGAAGGTTCTTACATGCAGATTATTGATATTTAGATAGGATATTAATGATATATTGAGAAAAATACTTATTCGCAATATACTCTATTAAGCCAATTTAGTTCTTTGGTCAGTATTCTATGTGATTAAACAATTACCACTTTTTTACCCACTGGAAGTCTGAAATTAAGTTCATAAGATTAGTCCCTGGCTGCTTAAATTTTGACAAAGATTTATTCATTGATTTCTTGTTTGTTGTTATCAACTTTTACTGATTGTAATTATCGCTATTGGGAGATTTCTTTTGTGACCCCTTTTTTAATTTTTGTGGGTATGTAATAGGTATTTACGGGGTAAATAAAACATAAAACATTTTTATACAGGCATGCAATGTATAATAGTCACAATCACATCATGTAAAATGGGGCATTGTGGCCCCTTTTTCTAAAGACAAGTTCAATTTTCCTATATCAAATTAGGCCTCCGTAAGCTTTGTCAAGATTTTATTCTTTCAACAATTTTTGTCTTGTTTTGTAAGTATCGTTTCCACCTGCAGTTTTTATCATGAATAACCTTCTTTGGTAGAATGGCAGATGAGAGGACATTTCCTTCAGGTGGGTGTTGGTAGAAGAGAAATCTCAAGACACCCTGAAAAGACAAAAGACGTCCCTCTGGGTGGACATCAGGTCCATTTCACCACCTCGCTTAGGGCCACCCTGATTCTCCAGGTTGCCTCACAGTATGTTAGCAAACAGATTTAGACCTCCAAAAATGTACCGTCTCCAGTACTTTGAAGCCATGCTTATAATCTGTAGATCTTAGGGAGTGGGTGGAGCCACTGCTCCAGGACTAAGACCCGCTCTCTGGGTCCTCTTGTGAACCAGCCTCTTTTCCCTCTAAACTGTCCCCTTTCCCTTTCCCTTCTCTCTATCTCCACCTCTTTACAACCTTACTTTTTTTTCTGTTTTTTTTTTTTAATCTTTCCCTGTTTCTTGGTACATTTATTTATTTATTTTGAGAGAGTCCCTGCTCTGTTGCCCAGGCTGGAGTGCAGTGGTGCGATCTCAGCTCACTGCAACCTCTGCGTCCTGGGTTCAAGCGATTCTCCTGCCTCAGCCTACTGAGTAACTGGGATTACAGGCGCATGCCACCATGCCTGGCTAATTTTTTGTAATTTTAGTAGAGACAGGGTTTTGCCATGTTGGCCAGGCTGGTCTTGAACTCCTGACCTGAAGTGATCTGCCCACCTTGGCCTCCCAAAGCACTGGGATTACAGGTGTGAACCACTGCACCTAGACCCTTGGTACATTTAAATAAGCCTGTAAAGGAAGTGTTTAAAAATGCATCTGGCCACTCATCACAACATCTGACAAGTTTCTTTGTCTTTCTTTCCTGCAGATGAGACAGTGGAGTCTTATGAACACCTGGCCCTGAAGGTTTTACACTCTTGGGAGGATATCCCGGAAGTCGGGTGCAGGCTGGTTCCCGAGCACATAGAAACTCGGCCGCTGTACCACAAAGATAAGCCAGGAATGGAGCAGGTAGTGGGCAAGACGTTTCTGGCCTTTAAAGTTAATCTTGTGTACCCTAGAGTAATGGTTTTCACCTAGGAACAATTTTGACCTTCTTCTTTCAGGAACATTTAGCAATGTCTGGAATCATTTTGTGTTGTCACAAGTTGGTGGGGTTGCCACTGGCATATAGTTGATAGAGGCCAAGGATGCTGCTAAATTAAATATCCTAGAAAACACAAGATAGGTTCCCTCCAACAAGGAATTATCCAGCCTAAAATATCCAGTCAATAATGCTGAGCTTGTGAAGTGCTGCCCTGGAGTCAGTGTTCAATTTAGTACTGCTTTTTATGATTTGAGTTACCAAACTCTTTTGGAAGAATACTAGATATTTGAATAACTTAAAAACCGATTGGGTATGCCCAGGACTTTGTCCAAAATCTATCTGTAACCACACAGCCTAGTAATAACACACAGACACACACACACAGTTTTCCCAGAGAAGCAATAGGTGGTAGCTTACCTTAAAGAACTAGCAAGAAGAAGCTGTGTGGAAAAAATACCTAGAGAGCTTGGCTAGGAATCAGAAGGGAAGAGAAGATAAACTTTGTTAAGAGCCTTCGGTTACTAGGACCTTTACATAAATTATCTCAGCTATTTAGGATGACCATAGAATTGTTGATCCAAACTGGGGCCATTTGGGAGTAAGTGAGGGCACTGTTAATAATCAAGCTGGATTTTCCTAGACAAACAGGGGTGTGTGCGTCACCTTCCTCTTATTCCTTAACGCAGCCTCAGGATGGGCTTATGAGGCTATTGAGGTTCAGAGGGCCCAGTTAATTTGCTCCGAATTACTCAGTTGGTGAGTAGTAAAGATGGGATTTAGCCCAGGCAATTTACATCCCTGCCCCACGCTATGCCCACACCACAAACCAGCTTCTGTCCCAGCTCTGGGCTCACTATGTGGCAGACAACTCATGTGAGTTTGATTTTAATGGGCCAGGAACACTCGCCCTGCTATCCCAGAGGTATTGGGATATAGACCTAGTGATTGCATGTGTGGAGGGGCACGTTGAGAGGGTAAACCATTATCACATGTAGAAGCTTATGATTGTTTCCTAAAATTCACTGCCTGGTGTTTGAAATCTTTTGGTTACTAGGATCCTTTTTGGCTGATCAGATGTGGCTCTTTTATTAAGGGTGAATATTAACATGCTTTAGAAAATAAATCATCCCACTTTCCTATATTGAATTGGTTATCTTCCCAAATGCTAAATCTTTGCTTACATTTTCTCTTCCTCTGAAGAGTTATTCTTTTCTAGCCAAAGCCCCTTCCTCATCCAAATCCTGCATAATCTTCATGCTCTGGTGGAGCCCCACCTCATCGTTATAAAATCCACCTAATTCTTAGAATGTATACAACAGAGCTGAGCATGGAATCCACAGGGCTTCTCACATGGACCCTTAAATCTCTTGTACCAGGGTAAAATCTGATGTATGCAGTTCAAGGCAATGGATGGGAGGCTCTCTTCTGCACTAATTAGCCACAGAACTTCAGATAAATTTTGTTGACTTCTCTGAGCCTTAGTTTATGTGTAGAACCGAATCCTGGCTGGGGTGAACGTTAACAGAGATAATAGATATAAAGGTACATTTAAGCATATTTGTGACAGATGGGATTATCATCTTTTTAATCCTTAGGGGTTAGCAGAAAGGGCAAGGTCTTGGGGGTCAACACACAAGGGTTGAATCTAAACTCTGCTACATACTATTAAACATGGGCAAAATGTTTATTCCTCTGTCAGACAGGAATAACAACATCTACCCAGTGGGTATATTGCAAGAGTTAATAAGACAGTGTGTGTCAAGTACACAGATAGCACTGTGTCTACCACCTAGTTGATGCTCACCCTTCACCCACTCTTAATTTATGCTCTAATTCCTAAAAAACAAATTGTCAACAGATATGCTAAATAGACATCTATAAAACTACCAGGCTGTACTTAATACCCATTTCAACTAAAGAGGTGTTATAAAACCATGAATAATCAATACCCATGTCCTCCAGCCCCTTCCCAAAGCTAAAGAAGACATTTTTTCCTTAACAAGGGCCGCCTGCAGATGTGGGTAGACATGTTTCCCAAGGATATGCCTCAACCTGGACCTCCTGTTGACATCTCTCCAAGGCGACCCAAAGGGTATGTCAGCTGCAGCCCCAGCTTTAGGGGAAGAGACCAGGGTAGCAGAAGAAAGAATCATGACATTTTATCTGGCGTCTGACAGCTTACCTGATAATTATACCTCACTGTCTACCTAGTCAGTTTTCAAGGGTCTGGCGGTAGCCCCTGTCTTAAGAGAGGGGCTTCTCAGTTTCCAGTTCCTCATCTGAAAAATGCTGGGTAATAAAAGGAAGATCTGCTCAGAGTAATTTGTGTCCTTGATGGTTCTATGGTCTCCAGCTGGGATACTTGGTTCTGATGGAACCAAGCCCCTGAATGCTGATATTTCTGAACTTGGCAAACTTAAGGAAACTTACAGACCAAAGGCAATACTAGAACCACACAGACACCAATTGACTCAGCTTTCAAGGTCATGAACCTAATGCTTCCTTCTCTCACCCCAGATATGAATTGAGAGTGACCATCTGGAACACTGAAGATGTCATTTTAGAGGATGAGAATATCTTCACAGGCCAAAAATCAAGTGATATTTATGTGAAAGGGTAAGGTTATCAGCAAACTTCAACCTCCCGTTTCCTCCCATCCTCACCTTTTTAAACCCTAAACAAATCTATGCCTCATGGAGGATACTAACCCCACAGCCCAGAAAAGGAGCCATCTTCCTTTGTTAGATAAGGCCACTTTTTGTCCAATATTTGTCTTATTTGGTCATTTTGCTAGAAATTATTAGCTTTTAAAAGTATTTTTATGAGAAACTCTTACATATACATCTTTCAGTTAAACACTGGATACCTAAACTTATTCAGTGACATTTGTCACACTTCCACCTTTAAACAGAAGGAAGCAGAGTGATGTGGTGTCATCATGAAAGATTAATATGTTGTGCGGATTGTAAAGCTAATGCAAAAGCTAAAATTTAGACCTTCTTGTTTGCTAGAGGAATTGACTTTTTAAAAAGATACAACCTAAGACCCAGGGAAGCATTTCATATATCCCTTACATCTCGGCTCTGCTTCCTTTTGGCCACTAGTCAGGGAACGGGATGGTGGTACAGCGTGAGACGAAAGGTGATTTAAATCTGTAACTAAAACCCATCTCAGCATGAGGCTCTATCTCTTTGCCTTCCACAAACAGGAAGTATTCTGTCTCCAGTACACATATTATCAGTGATTTGCAGTCATATCACATCCAGTGGTTCAAAATTCCCGTCTTTTTCATAATAAAAATATAGAAGTGAGTTAAATTTTTACAAAGCAGGAGTAATAGAAGGAGCATGACCCAAAATGAATAAGATTTTAACAAGTGTACTTAAGATCCTCTGAAATTGCTGTCTCATCACCAGTTTAGGAAAGATGCATGTGTCTTGTAAATAGATATTTCACTATGGCCTGAAATAGGAAAGATTCTGAGAGAGTCCAGGCTGACTTTCAGAAGCTGGCCTTCTGGAACATGTGATGGAGATGTTTGTTCACTCTCTCGGTCGCCTTCCCTCCCACTTCAGTCTGGCTTTCTCCATAATATTCCACCACAGCAGGTCTTGCTAAAGTGACGGTGCTCTCCATTTTGCTAAATCTAATAGTCTTGTGTTTTTTTAAATTAATCCTTATCTTATTTCCCTCTAAGAAGCATTTGTCACACCTAAGCACTTCTTTTTAAAACACTTTCTTGCCTTAACATCTGTAGCATCACATGCGTCTGTTTTTTCTCTTATCCCCTTGGTCACTTCTTGTTTGTATCCTTTGAAAGCTCATTTTCTGCCATCTGGCAGTTAAATAGCTCATAGCATTGTCCTGGGCCAACTTCTCATCTCCCACTATTTTGTCTCTGCCATTTTCAACTAACACTTCACTTGAATCAAGTGGTTCAAATAACCATGGCTTCAGTTGTCACCTTTTAATTTCCATGTTCGACAACTCCTGTTCCCACCGTGTCTACCTACTTAGATTCTGCAAAAGCAGCACCTCAAACCGAACAAGTCTTAAAACAAGACGTCCTTACAATGCTGTTTCTTCTCTAGGGTTTCTTATCTCAGTGACTGGCACCATCATCCACTGGGTTGAGAACCCCAAATCTATAGACTCTCTCCTCACTGACTTCCTCATTTCCAATGTGCCATCAGAGCTTGCCCATTTCCCCTCCCAAGTGACCATCAGCACCTGTTCATCCTCTCCATCTTTGCCACACCATTGTCCTTTTCTCTATCATCTCTTTCTGGGTTGGGATCACAGCAATACCAATGCCATCCAGATTTGCCTCTCCATATTCATTCTAGCCCTCCAATAATTTGTTCTGTGTTTAAACATGAGCTATCTTTTCAAAACACAATCTGATCATGTCAGCCCTGTACTTAAAACCCTTGACATCTCATTGTCTCTGAACAGAGATTCAAATCATTAATACATTCTAAAATGTCCCCTATAACTAGCCCTTGTCTCTCTCCAGCCTCATTTCATAGCACACTCCCCCTTGTTCTCTGCAAGAAGAACTGAGAAGAAAGACCTTCTAGAATCCTTACTACTTCTTCCATGGGGCCTTTGCACGTCTCTCTCTGGTGACTTCTGCCACTTACATCCCTCTCTCCCCTTTCCCCTATGACTATAGTTCCAAGAAGCAAGGATCATCTCTGTTTCTCCTAACTCTTTCCTGGCGTCAAGCTCTCTTATTGCCTCAGAACAGACACTACAAATGTATTGGCTGAGTGAACACCATCGTTAACTAAACAATTGGGTCCATATCCTGAGTGGTGCCACTTCTCTGTGAAGAGAAATGCCTTCACTCTCCTCTTCCCTGCCCTGGGAAGGAGGGAGTCAGATTTCACAAACCACATGGTTTGAAATTATCAACTAGTTTGCATTAAAAATACTTATTTTCTCAATTAATTGACAGACAAAGCACTAGGGATAAATGTACTAATTGTAACTTACATTGTGCCGGGGATAGAGGTGGAAGACAGATAATACTAAGAAGAAAGAACATGATAGATAATTTGGAGCGTCCAAGGCACTTTTAGGCATCATCTCACATAAATTTTCAGAACAATCCTATAAACTAGGTGCTATAATTGCTTCCAGTGTACAGATGAAACAGGCACAGGGAGGTTAGATAACTTATCTACGGCTGCACAGTAAGTGCTGCAGTCAGAGTTGGAATCCAGATGGGTGCAGGCACCCTCCATGCCACACCAATCCAGGCCTACTGGGCTTTCTAGGCCTAGAACCAGGGAGGAGGGAACCAATTATATCTGATGGCACAGGTCTGACAACACAAGTCTGGTACAGGCTCTATACCAGCCCGGTGCAGGCCTGACGGCACAGGTCCGCAGCAGCCCAATGTCAGAGTCCTCAGTGTGGTGGGTAATCTTGTTCTAACACTCAAGTATATATGAAAGAGATTCAGAGTACACTTTCACTTCCTATTTCCTGAATTTTCCGTCTTGATTGCATGGAGCTTCAGATCTACACAAGCAATTGAAGACCTTTCCCCACCTTGCCTTGAAATGAGTCTTTTTTCTGTTATGGCAGATCCTCTGACCCCTATTTTACTCTTTCGAGTTAAAAATGGAAACTTCCAACTGAATCCAATTATAATGATTTTAAAACTATGATCTGTGACCACACTGAAATGAGCTAAATCGCTCATGATTATACTGATGCCTGGAGAACGTACTCTGAGGGTTTAAATTCTTTTGAATCTTTTTTCAGATGGTTAAAGGGTTTGGAGGATGACAAGCAGGAGACAGACGTGCATTACAACTCCCTGACTGGAGAGGGTAACTTCAACTGGCGCTTCCTGTTTCCGTTCCAGTATCTCCCAGCTGAGAAGCAAATGGTCATTACCAAGAGAGAGAATATTTTCTCTTTAGAGAAGATGGAGTGTAAGACTCCTGCTGTGTTGGTGCTGCAGGTTTGGGATTTTGAAAGGCTGTCCTCAGATGACTTCTTGGGTAAGCCAGTGGCTTTATCAAGCACATACTAATGTTAAGGTTTTGTCTCAGCTTTTGAAGAGCTTGGTCTGATTTAGTCACAAGACTAATAATTTCAGCACTGTCTGATAGCAAAAACTTGGAAGCATCCCAAAGAGCCATTAATAGGCACTGGCTAAATGAGTGATGGTGCATCCATATGATGGACCACTGCATATGCCAAAAGACCAAAGTTGATCATTGCTCTATCACTAAAAGGTCATTAAACTTTGAGCTCATTACTGGCCTGCTCTGTGCCTCAGTTGTAAAATGAGGGCAGTAATATTACATACTGTAGAGTGGGGCGGAGCTGTAAATGTGATAACACAATTAAAGAGCACTCCATAGTGCCTCACACATAGTAATCCCTTGTAAACCAAAAAGTATCTGAGACAAGTCTCAATCAATTTAGAAGTTTATTTTGCCAAGAATAAGGACATGCCTGTGACATAGCCTCAGTAGGTCTTGATGACATATGCCAAAAGTAGTCAGCCCTCAACTTAGTTTCATACCTTTTAGGGAGATGTGAGACATCAGTCAATACATGTAAGATGTACATTGATTTGGTCTGGAAAGGCAGAGCAACTGGAAGTGGGGGCTTCCAGGTCATAGATAGATTCAAAGGTTTTCCAATTGGAAATTAGTTGAGTTATTATTAAAGACCTGGAATCAATAGAAAGGAATGTCTGCATTATGATGAGAGGTTGTGAAGACCAAGGTTTCTTCATGCATATGAAGCCTCAAGGTAGCAGGCTTCAGAGAGGATAGATGATCAGACTTGAAGAGCCTATTTCCAGTTTTAAGGTCTTTGTTGATGTTAATGGTAATGAGGCATGTCTGACTCCCCTTTCCTATCAATGTCCTGCACTAGTTTTTCAGGTTAATTTTAGAATGGCCTTGGCAGACAGGAGGAGTCCATTCAGATGGTTGGGGGACTTAAAGTTTTATTTTTGGTTTACATACTCAACAGGCGATAAACCTGCAAACGTTAAAAATATGGGAATATCTAATGAATTGGAAAGTTGTACAGGATGCATTAAGTAAAAAGAGAAAAATCTCATCTCTGTAAACTATATGCATAGGAGAAAGGGACAGCCATAGGCTGAAAGAAAGGGCTAAGCCCCAATACACAGAGCAGTGGTCAACATTTTAGGCATGAAATTATAAATTTTTCCATTCTCATGTTTTTGCCCATGAGTATGCCCTAAATTTTTCATATTTAACAATTATTAATTTATAATAGGAAAAAATGGTTAAAGAGATACAGAACTCATGGCAATATCTTACTCTGCCTCATGTTCATTCGTTGGAAAAACAGTGTTGGGAACCCACTGAGGTTCACCTCCTGTCCTGAAGAGTAGATACAAGGACAATAAGACTAGTCTCTGACCTGGAGGGGTTTAGTGGACACCAAGAAGGTGGTGAAGTAGGGCGAGGAGGCTCTCATGGGGCTGTCAGTGCTAAAGTAGGGGAAGGCTACAGCCAATAATCCAGGCTCAGGAAGCAGAGGAGGTGCCCGGCAGTGATGTTACCTGCAACTGAGGCTTGCAAGTTAAGTTTTTCCCTTCTACCTGCTACCATGTGATTACTTTTTTGATGGCACCAAATGTGTCTCCGTCCTATTTGTACTCCCAATACCTAGCACATAGTTGTGATCCAATATAGTACTGACTGAATGACTAGGAAGTGAAGGGTAAATGAATGAGGATGATGAATGGAAAGCTCTTACGTAACCTTCAGAAAATGCTTCCCTAACTGTTACAGTCATCTCTCCACAGGCACCCTGGAAATGAACCTCAACAGTTTCCCTCGAGCAGCTAAGTCTGCCAAAGCCTGCGATCTCGCCAAGTTTGAAAATGCAAGTGAGGAGAACAAGATCTCTATATTCCAGCAAAAACGTGTGCGTGGCTGGTGGCCTTTTTCTAAAAGCAAAGAACTCACAGTAAGTGATAGCTATTGGAGGTGGAGGGCATGGGGGCGTCATGCTCTTCCAATGAGTCATTTTGTGAACTTCAAGTAAAATGCCTTGAAATGACATGAAACCTTCATGCAGAGATTCTGCTAAGAAGCAAGCATTTTTAAAGTTTTATAAATGCAGGAAGACTTCGCTCTCTATGCTGAGGCGATTTTCTGTCTTTATGGCCTGAACTTATGCCCCTGGCATTAATTCTTTTTTCAACATTTCTTAAGATTATGCATAAAGTCCTGAGTAGTGTACAGTGTCAATGCAATTACCTTATGCCTTCATCCTCAAATATAAGACATGATGTAAAAAGTGATCCATCCTTTCAAAAGAAGGTGACAGCAGAAAAAGCCATTTATCCCTTTCCATGAATTGCCCACTTCTTGCAAATGCATGTCAGACTGTGTGGCATGCGTTTTCAGGAATTTTTGACCTTTCACAAATATTGGGAAGACAGTTTCTTTTCCTGTTTTTTCAGCTCCCTCACTGATCCTCTGTAAGGCAGCAGGAATGACATAGCGAGGCTGGGAAAAGGCACTCAGACTAATGGCAGGGTCTTTTTTCTGCTGTTAGCCTCCCCTTGGGATGAGTGCATTCTGCTCTCTGCTTCTAGTGCCTTGTGGCAAAAGCACACCTAGGGCAGGATTTTTCTGGTAGTAGCTCTGGATAGAGACCAATTTCTCTGTTTCTGCTCTGGGGATCCAGTGAGTGTGAAGCAGAGATTCCCTTTGTACCTCTTTGGGGAAATGGCAGCTGCTGGTCTGACCTCTTGGTGTCTAGTTTTATTATGTTTTCTGAGAGTTTGTCTCTTCCCTCCATTCTTAATTGGATCCCCTTGATTGGTGAGCTTGCTGGGGAGGCTCCAGCCAGTTTCAGTTCCCCTCAAGTACTTAATGAGGGCTTACTACATGCCAGCCTCTGGGCTTGGTTCTGGGCAATCGATATTTGTTGGATGCATGAATAAAACCACAAATGAATGAGTCATGGCCTCTGCTCCAAGTCACGGCCTCTGTTCTCAGAGTGAGAGGGACAAACGGGTCAACAGCCAATCATGCGTGGAATAACCAAGGTGTGAAAGGCAGGGAAGGAACAGAGAGGTGGGAGGGATGCAATTGTCTTGATGGAGTTGAGGGTTCAAACAGGACAAAGGACAATGGAAAGGCATTTTCCGGATGAAAAAGAGCAGATATCTACTCCAAGTGAAAGAACCATGATGAGCAGAGCATGGAGGCGTGAAGGGGCTCCCAGTGGAAGGCTCACCACCATCTGATAGAAATTCCTGAACACAGTACAAGGTTGGGAAATGGGACTTGCCAGGCCCAGGTGTCCAAACTCTTTTGACATTATTCTGATTTCTGTATATTAATAAGTAGTAAATTTAGATGCATGATCATATAATAGCAGTCGTGTATATTTTATATCCCTTTAGATTTTGAAAAATATGTACAGACTCTTTTTCCATGTCATTTACTTATTTCTTCACTTCATCTAACAAATATTTACTGAGCTTCTATTAAGCGATAGATCCTGTGAATAAGATATGAGTAATATGGACAAGGTCTCTGTCATCATAGAGCTTACAGTCTAAAGTCAAATTCAGACACGCAGACATATACATGCAAAGCCACGGATAGCTACTCATACATACTCCAAGAAAGTAATGACTTAGAACAAGGGCTGGGCAGGAGACAAAGCGCTGAAGCAAAGCTTATCCAATGCAGAGATTTTCATTCACTATGGTGGCAGGGGAAGGCCTTTGTGTGCCTGTGAAATTAAGCTGAAACTTGAATGAAATGTAGTGAGCCATCAGAGGAAAGGGAGGAAGAGCGTTCTCCACAGAGCAAATTCCGTAGGCGAATGCCTTGAGGTGGGAATGAGTTCAGTGCTTTGGACAGACTAAAATCCAAATGAACAAAAGCCTCCCATAACCAGCGTGTGATGCATGAGGGCAGTGCTGGTATAGTGGAGAAGCCACTAGAGCCTGATCACAGAGGCCTCAAGGGTATGGTGAAAAGCTTGGAATTCATTCTCAAGGGAAAGCCACTGCATGGTTTCCAGCAGGTAGCAGATCTGCCAAACCTAGAAAACACATCCCCTGACTGCTGTGTGGACAATGGTCAGAGAGGGTCACGATTGGAGAGACAGGACTAGGCCACGATGTAGGAAAAAGAATAAAAATGTGCTGAAAGAGGAAGTCAGAGAGGAGGCTCTTTGGAGAAGGGCACTTGGTTACCATGTCAAATGCTCCTGAGAGTTTAAGAAGCCACAAAGATGTGCCCATTGGACTTAATAGCATGGAGGTTCCTGGTGACCTTTAAAAAAGCATCACTGTGAGTGTCCATAGCAGCATTATACATAATAGACCCAAAGAGGAAACATTCAAATGTCCATCAGCTGATGGGTGAATTTTAAAAATGTAGTATATCCATACAATGGAATATTATTCAACCATGAAAAGGAATGAAATACTGATGTATGTACCAACATGGATGAACCTTGCAAATGTGATGCTAAGTGAATGAAAGAAGCTTGTCTTGAAAGACCACATACTGGTCTGATTTCATTTATGTAAAATGTTCAGAATAGGCAAATCCATAGAAAATTGTTGAGTAGTTGCCAGGAAGGAGAATGGGGAGCAACTGGTATGGAGTTTCTTTTTGGGGTGATTAAAAAAAGTTTTGAAATCAAATAGTGGTGATGGCAGTACAATTTTGTGAACATATTAAAATCCATCTAATTGTTGTATAATGTAAAAGGGTAAACATTCTGGTATGTGAATTATGTCTCAAATTTTAAAAAGCAATGGTAGTGGAATGGCAAAGACAGAAGGAGATGAATGTGGATTGCCCAGTGAATGAGAAGCAGGTTAGTGTAGACTCTCTAGAAACTTCCACAGTGTCATTTCTCACTGCTCCCCTCTCAACCAGCCTGACCCATTCCCAGGTACCTGCTTATCTGGTCTGTAGACTAGTCCTTCTGCCTGGAATGCCTTAGCCCTTTTCTCTGAGAAAATTCCTAGTCCTTAAATATTTGGAGATTCTTTTTAGCAGTGTCCCCTCTGAGAAGCCTTCCCGGGTGTCCTCTACCTGGATGGGCTTGCCTTCTCGTTCCCTACCTGCAGCTCTTGCCACACTGATTTGAACCTGTCCATGGACTTCATGGTTCTTTTACTGTGAGCAATTTGAGTCCAAAAAGTATGTTTTTTTCTTTCTGTACACTTTCCAAATTTTCAGTGCCTAAGACATAGTACTCATAAATATTGATTGAATGAATCAATTCAATAATTAAGAAATTGACCCTACTATAAGAGATTATCAGGTTTTTCCTGTTTACTCAGTGTACTGAGCACATAAGAAGTGCTCAGTAAATGTTCTTTGAAAATGAACACATTAGCACACATTGATTTATATGATTATCTAAGTGTCAGCTTAGACACCAGAGAGGAATAAATGACAGAGGACAGATTTTAAAGGCAGGGCGATTAAAAGGTTTAGATAGATGACACAGTGGTGAATGGATGAACATTTGGGTGGTGGCAGTCTGTTTTTCTAGACTTTATTAAGATCCGCACAAGCATTTGAGCTTCTGATCTGAGCCTCACCTGCTAGGTACCAGAGTAGTAGCAATTTCCATGATTTTTCACCTTCTCTCCATGCTGCCCTTGCCTTGCCAGAGCCTGGGTATGTCAGATTATAGTGATTTAAATTCATTTGCTAGTTTTGTAATGGCTGGGCCTTAAGTGAGACATTTATGTGGCAAATTTACTGTCTGGTTTGATTGACTCCATGCTGAGTTTTTCTGCTTTTGTGCTTTGGGCAGTCCATTTGAAGATCCCTCTTTGCCTTTGATCTCATGAGGTAAAGCCTAACAGAGCCACTAATGTCACATCACCTCTTATAGTCCTATCATAAAAGAGAAGCCTCTTTCATGAGGACACGCACATATTATTTTAAGATCCCACAGAGGACTTTGGTGCATCAAAAAATGCATGTCTGTGTTAAAAGCTTCAAAAGCTTTCTAGATTATCCTAGGGATTGAGATCAGTAATAATGAGAGGGGTGGATTCCAGCCTGGACCAGCCTCAGGGCAGCAGATAAGCAGCGCACTCAAGGCTAACTGGGGCCAAGCACAGTGGCACGAATCTGTAGTCTCAGCTACTTAGGATGCTGAGGTAGGAGGATCCCTGGGGCCCAAGTCTACCCTGGGCAACATAGTGAAACCTCATCTCTAATAATAATAATGACACATAGTGACTCCTGGATTCCGTCCTTCAAGAAAAACCAACTTGGGTTCAAAGCCTGCCTCCATTATTTCCCAGCTGTCTGAACTTTACCATGAGCCTCAGCTTTCTTAGCTGTAAGATTAAGAATATGAAAGTAATGGAAGTATGTACTTCATGAACTGTTACAACACTGAAATGAGATAGAATCTGTGTGCCTGGAATATATTAAGTGTTCAATAAATGTCAGATTTTTGCTTGAACCCTTGCTCAGTAATAAACTTTTTTTGAACATTCCCTTCTCCCACCTCCTTCTGGACCCCAAGATGAGGTAAATGCCTCAAATTCAAAATGCCTAAATATCTTAGTCAATAATAACATCTAATCCTTAGGGGTTATACTTTTGGTAAATATAAGAAAAGAGAAAGGGGTGGGTATGGTGGCTCATACCTGTAATCCCAGCACTTTGCAGTAGGAGGACATCTTGAGCCCAGGAGTTTGAGACCAGCCTGGGCAACACAGTGAGACTCTGTCTCTACAAAAAATACATATAAAAATTTGCCAGGCATGGTGGTACCTACCTGTAGTCCCAGCTACTTGGGAAGCTGAGGAAGTAGGATCCCTTGAGCCCAGGAGTTCAAGGGTACAGTGAGCTATGATCACACCTTTGCACTCCAGGTTGGGCAACATAGGGAGACCCTGTCTTTATTTAAAAAAAAAAAGAAAGAAAGAAGGGAAGGGAGAAGAATAGAACCTCTAG